TAAATTGGAGAGTCAAATGAGATCCTCTGATAAGAGTCCCCAGCAGTCTTAACTGCTGAACCAAGTGCTTACCTCCCTCTATTCTCTCCAATATTGTTTTCAAATGCCAGCAGTGGCCCACTTCTTCAAACTAGTACCTCTATAATGTGAGCCTCCATTCCTCTTAGATGAAGGGGCATCTGGTTTACCGAGTAGCCATTAGATGCTAGGTCTTCTTTAATCCGCGTAGTAATATCACCAGCAGGGTAATGATTGTCCTCATTATATGTGTGATACTTTCAAAGAACAAATTGATGATTTCACCTGACTTCTTTATTGCTTTTATAGTCTCTATTTCATTTATTTCAGCTCTAGTCTTCATATTTGCTTCTTCCTGTTGGCATTGGTTTAGCTTTTTCTTCTTATTTGTTTTTTCTCTCTCTTTTTAAAGTGTTTTTACCTTTAACTTTCTCCTTTAGTGTTGCTTGTGCTATTCCTGCATGTTTTGGTATGTTTTGGTTTTATTCTATCCATTTCCCAGTATTTTCTCATTTCCTTTGTGATTTTTTCCTTGGCACACTGGTTTGTTTCAGAAGTGCATATGATCTTCACAATTTTTTGGATTTCTCTGTTTCCCTACCGTTATTGATTTTTTTTTTTTTTTGGACAGGCAGAGTGGATAGTGAGAGAGAGAGAGACAGAGAGAAAGGTCTTCCTTTGCCATTGGTTCACCCTCCAATGGCCGCCGCGGCTAGTGTGCTGCGGCCAGCGCACCACGCTGATCTGATGGCAGGAGCCAGGTACCTATCCTGGTCTCCCATGGGGTGCAGGGCCCAAGTACTTGGGCCATCCTCCACTGCACTCCCTGGCCACAGCAGAGAGCTGGCCTGGAACAGGGTCAACTGGGACAGAATCCGGCGCCCCGACCGGGACTAGAACCCGGTGTGCTGGCACCGCAAGGTGGAGGATTAGCCTAGTGAGCCGCAGCGCCAGCCCCGTTATTGATTTCTAACTTCATCTTATTGTGGGGGAAAAATTGCTTTGTATGATATCTATCTATTTAAATTGATTGAGACTTAATTTGTGACCTGACATTTGATATATCCTGGAAAATGTCCCTTGTGTACTTTTTTTTAAAAAAAGATTAATTTTATTTATTTGAAAGAGATACAGAGAGAGAGAGAGAGAGAGAGAGACAGAGAGACAGAGAGACAGAGAGACAAAGAGACTTAGTCTTCTATCTGCTGGTTCACTCCCCAAATGGCTACAACATCCAGAGCTGGACCAATCTGAAGCTAGGAGCCAGAAGCTTCCACTGGGTCTCCCACATAGGTGCAGGGGCCCAAGCACTTGGGCCATGCTCTGCTGCTTTCCCAGGTACACTAGCAGGAAACTAGATTGGATAGCAGCCTGGGCTTGAACAGGCTCCCGTATGGGATGCTGGCACTGCAGGCTTAAAAGCTGCTGCGCCACAGTGCTGGCTCCCCCTGCTGTACTCAAGAAGAATGTTGTGTTGTTCTTGGGTCAAGGGTTCCACATGTGTCTGCCATTTCAAGTTGATTTAAGTCTTCTATTTCCTTACTTATCTTCTGTATGGTTATTTTATTCACTGTTTACAATATAATATTGAAATGTCCAACTATATTCATATACTTTGATGGTATTGTCAAAAATGTGTTAATAACTGTTATATCTTTTTGCTATAGTGAATATTTTATTAATTTTTAATGTCCTTTGTTGCCTATAAATTTTTTAGATTTAAATTCTATCTTGTCTGATATGAATACAGCCATCCACTCTCTTTTGGTTGCTATTTATATGGAAGTTCTTTTTCCTGCTTTGTTCTTGAAATCTCTTGTGTCTTTCTATCTAAAGTTAGTCTCCAGTGGGTAGTGTGTAGGGGGATCATATTTTTTTATTTATTTTTTCAATCTCTGTCATTTAATTAGATCAAGCAAACACATACGGAGGAATGTGAGAGAACATGTGGTACTTGTCTTTCTGGGTCAGGCTTATTTCACTCTACAGAGTGTCTTCCAGTTGCATCCATTTTGATGCCAATGGCAGAATTTCATTCTGTTTTCTGGCTGAATAATATTCCATCATCATATGTACACTTTCTTTATCCATTCATCTGGTGATGTGTTCCTTGGTTGATTCCATATTTTGCCTATTGTGAATAGTGCTGCTATAAACACGATGGTGCAGATATCTCTTTGATACAACATGTTCACATTTTCGGGTATATACCTTGTAGTCAAGTGCTGGATCATATGGCAAGGCTATTTCTAGCTTTTAGAGAAATCTCCATGTTGTTTTCCACAGTGCCTGCACTAATTTATATTCCCACCAGTAGCGTATGAGTTCCCCCTTCTCCACATCCTCACAATCCTTTGTCTCTATGTCTCTTGGATAATAGCCATACTGACAGAGATTAGGTATATCTTGCAGTTTGCATTTGCATTTCCCTAAAAGCTAGTGATGTTGAATTTTTTTTCAAATATTTGTTGGCCAATTGTATTTCTTCTTTTGAGAACTCTGTACTGAAGTCTCTTGCCCATTTCTTAACTGAATTATTACTTTTTTGTTGTTGCTGCTGTTTCTGAATTTTTTGAGCTGCTGATGTATTCTAGATATTAATCTTTTGTCTGATAGGTAACTTGCAAATATTTTTCCTATTCTATTGGATGTCTTTTCACGCTACTCACTGTTTACTTTTCTATGCAGAAGCTTCTGAGTTTGATATAATCCCTTTTTTCTAGGTTTTCTTTTGTTTTTTTTTTTTCATTTTTTGTTTTTGCCTATGCTTTGGGAGTCTCATACAAGAAGTCATAATCTACATCAATGTCTTGTAGCACTTTCAACTGCATTTTCTTCCAGCAATTTCATAGGCTCAGGTCTTAAATGTAGGTCTTTGATTCATCTTGAGTTGACTTTTGTATACAATGAGAAATATGGATCTAATTTAATTCTTCCACATATATACATTCAGTTTTGCCAGCACAATTTTTGAAGAGATCATCTTTTTTCCAGTGTATAGTCTGGCCACTTTTATCAAAAATCATTTGGTCATATATACGTACTTTAATTGTTGGGCTCTCTATTCTGTTCCATTGATTTATGTGTCACTTTTTATGCCAGTACCAAGATGCTTTAATTACTATATCATACTGATTGAGGAAAAGCTGAAAGCATTTCCCCTCAGATTTGGAACAAGACAAGAATGTTCATTTTCACAACTCTTTTTCAGTATAGTACTGGAAGTATTAGCAAGAGCAGTTATGGAGGAGAAAGAAATAAAGGACATCAAAATTGGAAAGGAAGAAATAAAAACATTCAAGTTTACAGATTTCATGATGTTGTACATGGCAAAAACCTAAACATTCCACCAAGAAGCTGCTAGAACTGATAAACCAGTCCAGAAAGTTGTAGATTACAAAATAAATATACAAAAATCAGTAGCATTTTTATATACTAATGATGAACTCAAAGAAAGAGAAATCATGAACGAATCCCTTTCACTATAGCTACACACAAAAAATCAAATACTTAGGAATAAATTTAATCAAAGAAGATAAAAATCTCTACAATTGTTACAAACGTTGATGAGGGGCGCCGGATTCTGTCCCGGTTGCTCCTCTTCCAGTCCAGCTCTCTGCTGTGGCCCGGGAGTGCAGTGGAGGATGGCCCAAGTCCTTGGGCCCTGCACCCCATGGGAGACCAGGAGAAGCACCTGGCTCCTGCCATCAGATCAGCGCGGTGCGCCACCCGCAGCGGCCATTGGAGGGTGAACCAACAGCAAAGGAAGATCTTTCTCTCTGTCTCTCTCTCTCACTGTCCACTCTGCCTGTCAGAAAACACATTGATGAAATAAATCATCAAGGACACAAAAAATGGAATGCTACTCTTTGCTCATGAATTAGGAGACTCAGTATCATTAAAATAACTATCCTACGTAAAGGAATCTGCAGATTCCATGCAATCTCTATCAAAGTACCACTGAAATTCTTTACAGAATCAGAATAAAAAATCCTAAAATTCATTTGGAATCACAAAAGACTCAGAATAGCCCAAGCAATCATGAGAAAAAAATATCAAACTGGTAGCATCACAATACAAAAAGCACATGTTTATACATTAGGTGCCTAAAAATGTAAATTAATAATTCTTCTAAATTTAGTAGTCTCTTAAATTATGTAGAAAACAAAAGATGGAGTTGTGAACCATTGTTATAATAGCATTAGCTTTGATAAGTGCCATCTATGTGCCTTTCCTGAGATCTTCATTTCTTACCCTATGGGACTCCTTTTAAAATTTTTTTTTTTTGACAGGCAGAGTGGACAGTGAGAGAGACAGAGAGAAAGGTCTTCCTTTTGCCATTGGTTTACCCTCCAGTGGCCGCCGCCGCTGGCGTGCCGCGGCCGATGCACTGTGCTGATCCGATGGCAGGAGCCAGGTGCTTCTGCTGGTCTCCCATGGGGTGCAGGGCCCAAGCACTTGGGCCATCCTCCACTGCACTCCCTGGCCACAGCAGAGAGCTGGCCTGGAAGAGGGGCAACCGGGACAGAATCTGGCGTCCCGACCGGGACTAGAACCCGGTTTGCCGGTGCCGCAGGTGGAGGATTAGCCCAGTGAGCTGTGGCGCCAGCCTGTTTATTGATATTGGTATTTTTGTTCACATATCATTTGCTTGATTTTCTCTGCATATTCCTTTAGTTCTCAGAATATCTTTAAGACAGTTATTTAAAAGTCTTTGTCTAGTATGTCTGGCACTAGATCTTTTTTAGGGTCTGTTTCTATTTGCTTTATGTATGTGTGTGTACATGTGTGTGTAAATTGCTGTTATAAATATATATAAATTATTATATATATTTTGTTTTTATATTAATACTATATATCTATGTATCTATCTATCTATGTATATTAAGGGACCATATTTTCCTGCTTCTTTGATGCATCATGATTTGTGCTGGGTTAAATGATGTAGTAACTCTGGAACTCAGATGATCTCCCTTCTCCAGGGCTTGCTTCATCTTCCCCCATCTACCTGCTCCTGTCAAGTGTGTGCAAGCTACTTCAGGAACGCAGTGCAGTTGCTTGCCATGGGACTGACTGTGAAGCATGGGCAGCTGCTACCATGCTAAGACTGAAACTATCCACAGCTCACCATCCAAACCTGCTGCAGGAGACTCCTGAGTGCCAAAACAGATCCATCAGATTCTTCCAGTATAAATGATGTGTAGGTAGGCAGAGATTTCTCTTGTTCTTCCTACTCTGCTGTCTTCCCAGAATCCTCTGCCCCATTGATTTTTCTAACAATTCAATTTGATGTATTTTCAGCCTTACAGCAAAGCTACAATAGTATGAGAAACTCCCCCCAATGCTGTCTTAATTCATTTTTACTCATATAACAGAATATCTGAGACTGGATAATTTATTTGAAATATTTGCTTCTCAGGGCTGCACTGTGGCATAGCAGGTAAAGCTGCCGCCTGCAGTGCTGGCATCCCATATGGGGTGCCAGTTCAAGTCCCGGCTGCTCCACTTCTGATCCAGCTCTCTGCTATGGCCTGGGAAAGCAGTGGAAGATGGCCCAAGTCCTTGGGCCCTGCACCCACATGGGAGACCCTGAAGAAGCTCCTGGCTCCTGGTTTCAGATCAGCCCAGCTCTGGCCATTGTGGCCAACTGGGGAATGAACCAGTGGATGGAAGACCTTTCTCTCTCTCTCTCTCTCTCTCTCTCTCTCTCTCTGCCTCTGCCTCTCTGTAACTCTGCCTTTCAAATAAATACTGGGGTACCCCAGAGATTGGCACTGGCATCTGGTGGGGGCCTTCTTATGGCATGGTGACATGGCAGAGAGCATTCCATGGTGACAGGGCTACTAATGCCATCATGGAGCCTCACGCTCCTGATCTCATTAATCTCAAACACCTTCCTAAAGTGCCAATTCTAACATATAAAATTGGAGATTAAATATCGAACATGTGAATTTTAGGGGATACGCATAAATCATAGCATGGATTTTGTTTGGATTCATCAATTGTTTATATTTGCATTTTATGTATTACCTCCCCACATATGTTATATTTTATGAATATTTTAAAGTGAATCGGGGATACCATGCCTTCAACATTTTAGGATATACTCATATTTCCTGTGAAAAAGAACACTCTTTTATAAAACCTCAGGACATGGATCAAAATCAGAAATTTAACATTGGGGCCAACATTGTAAAGTCACCAACTATGACAATGGCATCCCATATGGGTGCCAGTTTGAATCTCGGCTGCACCACTTCCAGTCCAGCTCCCTGCTAATGGCCTGGGAAAAGCAGCAGAAGATGGTCCAAGGGCTTGGGCCTCTGTACCAACATGGGAGCCTGCAAGAATCCCCCAGCTTTGGTCTAGCCTGGCCCTGGCTGTGTGGCTCTCTGGTGAGTTAACCGGTGCATGGAAGATCTCTCTTTGTCTCTGTCTCTGTCTCTCTCCATCTCTCTGTCTCTGTGGAACTCTGGCATTCAAATAAGTAAATAAATATTTTTAAAAAGAAATTTAACATTGATAAAATGGTATTCTTGTTCTAATTTTATTTACTTATTTGGAAGGCAAAGTGATAGAAAGATCTTTCATCTGTTGTGTCTGCAACAGCCTGGACTGAGCCAGGTTGAAGCCAAGAGCCAGGAACTCCATCCAATTCTGTGTGAGTAGCAGGAACCCAAGCACTTGGGCCGTCCTCTGCTGCCTCCCAGAACATACATTTGCAAGAAATGGTTGGAAACAGAAGTGGGACTTGAAGCCAGGACTCCAATATGAAATGTCTGCATTCCAAGTGGTGGCTTAACCCATTGTGCCACAAACACCCACTCTGATAAAATGGCTTCCTAATCCAGAATTTACACTGACATTTCATCAATTGACTAATATTTGTCTTTGCAGCAATTTCTTCCACATTTAAGCATCCAGTACAGAATCATGCAGAGCATTTTATTTATTTATTTATTTATTGACAGGCAGAGTGGACAGTGAGAGAGACAGAGAGAAAGGTCTTCTTTGCCATAGGTTCACCCTCCAATGGCCGCCACGGCCGGCGCGCTGTGGCTGGCACACTGCGCTGATCCAAAGGCAGGAGCCAGGTACTTCTCCTGGTCTCCCATGGGGTGCAGGGCCCAAGCACTTGGGCCATCCTCCACTGCACTTCCCTGGCCACAGCAGAGAGCTGGCCTGGAAGAGGGGCAACCGGGACAGAATCCGGCGCCCCGACCGGGACTAGAACCCGGTGTGCCTGCACCGCTAGGCGGAGGATTAGCCTAGTGAGCCGCAGCGCCGGCTGGTATTGCAGTCTTTTTTAAGATTTATTTATTTGAAAGGTAGCATGACAGAGAGAGATTGGGGACACAGAGAGATCTTTCGTATGCTGGTTCATTCCCCAGATGGTTACAGCAGCCTGGATTGGGCCAGCCCACAGCCAGGAGCCTGAAACTCCACTCAGATCTTTCACATGGGTGGTAGAGGCCCAAGTACTCAGGTCATCTTCTCCTGCCTTCCCAGGAACGTTGGTGGGAGATGGAATTGGAAGCAGAGCAGCTGAAACTCAAGCTGGCAAAATGATAGGGGAATCCTAGGTTGCCAGCGCTGTGCCAAAAGGCTGGCCCCACAGTATTGAGTCTTTTTTTTTTTTTTTTTGACAGGCAGAGTGGACAGTGAGAGAGAGAGACAGAGAGAAAGGTCTTCCTTTTTGCCGTTGGTTCACTCTCCAATGGCTGCTGCAGCCAGCACGCTGCGGCCAGCACATTGCGCTGATCCGAAGCCAGGAGCAAGGTACTTATCCTGGTCTCCCATGGGGTGCAGGGCCCAAGCACTTGGGCCATCCTCCACTGCACTCCCTGGCCACAGCAGAGAGCTGGCCTGGAAGAGGGGCAACTGGGACAGAATCCGGCGCCCCGACTGGGACTAGAACCCGGTGTACCTGCGCCACAAGGCGGAGGATTAGCCTATTGAGCCACGGCGCCGGCCAGTATTGAGTCTTGATTACAATTCTTCCAGTAAGATCTATTCAGAAACATTAAGTCCTCCAACCCTATCCTGCCCTTTCAATCTGGTGTTGGATATTCTAAATCCTTTGCTTTTTTCATGTAAATTTTACAGAGTGCTTATCACTCCACCAAGCCCAGGGCAGACATGGCTGAACGTTTTCTTGTCTGCTCCAACCCTCGCTTCACTGAAGCAGAGACGAAAGCCCTGGGAGAGATGTTGGGATTGAGATGTGAGTCAGTCAACCCTGAGGCTTAGCTCTGGGTTGTCCTGCGTAGCTGTACACAGGCAGGCTGGCTTTGGTGACACAAGCCCTGCCCCTGAAAGTGAAGTGGGGGCATAGGGGCAGGCACCACAGATTCTCCCTGCATCCCCTGCACATGGAAGCCCCAGCCCCAGAACACCTGCCTCGGTTCCTACTCAGCCATTCCCAGGGTCTCTGCATTCCTGGGCAGGTGTTTGCCCTGAACAGCTTCATCCTGTGGCAAGAGGGAAAGGTGGTGGCTGGTGGGAGGACAGGTCCCAGCAAGAGCGGGAAGGAGTCGGCACCACCTGGCCACAGCGGGGTGCGCTGGCTGTGAGGTCCCAGTCTGCATCCTGCTCACCCTCTCTGTCTCCCTTCCACCACCCTCCTCCACCTCTGCCTCCCCCCTTGTGTGAGGGGAATGCAGCCAGGGCCCATGCACTGAGCCTCCCTCTCTCGCCTCCTCCTCCCAGCACCCACCTGGCCCTGCCGCTGGGCTCCTGTAGTCTGCCCAGTGGGTGGGAGCCCCTGCAGACAGGGTTGTGGCTTAGGTGGCTCCATTCACCCAGAGCGCACACTTGGTGCTTTGGTGAAGGACCTGGAGCTGGTGCTCAGTGTTACTGCATGAACAGACGAACAAGTGAATCAAAGTGAAGGAGTGAACAGACATAACCCCATGCCTGCTGGATCCCCTGAAAGACGGCAGGGTGGTAGTGGTGCAGGCATGGAACCCCACAGCCCTGTGCCTGCTGGATCCCCTGAAAGACTGCAGGGTGGTGGTGGGGCAGGCATGGAACCCCACAGCCCCGTGCCTGCTGATCCCCTGAAAGACGGCAGAGTGGTGGTGGTGCAGACATAGAACCCCACAGCCCCGTGCCTGCTGATCCCCTGAAAGACGGCAGAGTGGTGGTGGTGCAGGCATGGAACCCCACAGCCCCGTGCCTGCTGGATCCCCTGAAAGACGGCAGGGTGGTGGTGGTGCAGACATGGAACCCAGAACCGGGAGGCGGAGTCAGTTGCTGGCTGACTGCAGGCTGGGGCTGCCCTCCCATGCCAGGCCTTAGGCTGCTCACCTGCCCAGGGAGGAGGTGCTACAGCTTAGAGCCCCTGTGTGTGCTTCACTGTGCCTGGGCCCCCAGCCACCTGAAGCTGATGGGGGGAGAGGAGGGGCTGGGGGACTGGGTCTGGAAGGCGCACAGAGCTGTGTGCCTGGTGGGTTCAGGGGAGGACGGTGGTGTTGGAGAGAGCATCCTGCAAAGATTTTCCAAACAGGAAGGCGGGATTTAAAATGCAAAGTTCCCAGAAAATGTACATGTGCTGTGCACGTGCACACACAGTACATGCTCACGCCTTGTCTTCCCCAGTCTCTGTCTCCCGTCCACCCACAAGGCGGTTCTTCAGGGAGAAGCTGCCGCCCTGCCCTTACCAGGTGCGTTCAATCTTACTCCTGGCTTATGAAGGACCCACAGGGAGGAGTGCAGGCGCCTTCAGCAGTTGCTCCACACTCAGAACTGCACACTTCTCTGGTCTAGGAGAGGCTCGGAGGGTGCGAGAGCCCGCCTGCCCCACAGCTGTGCACCTGTGAGCTCACACATCCCAGCTCATACACCTGGGCACCCGACACACACGCATGGGGCATGCACCGTGAGTGATGGCAGCCCCCACGTGAGGAAGAAGCCCCCAGGAAGGCTATCTTCCACCTCAGAACCAGGGCATATCGGTGCCACCAAGGGGACAGAACCCAGTCACCCCAGCTGTCAACCTGAGTCGTATCTAGAAGCCCTCCCTGTGTGCAGGGGCAGGCACATGGACCTGTGCAAGGTCACTCTGTGTGGAGGGGCAGCACGGGGACCTGTGCAAGGTCACTCTGTGTGGAGGGGGCAGCACATGGACACATGCAAGGTCACTCTGTGTGGAGGGGCAGGTGCACGGACCTGTGCAAGGTCACTCTGTGTGGAGGGGCAGGCACATGGACCTGTGCAAGGTCATTCGGGGGGGGGGGGGCAGGGCCAGGTCTGTCTTTCTCCAAGCGACTCTGAGTAACTCATCAGCACTGTGATGCTGTCAGCTGGGACGGCTAATGGAGTTAGAAAGTGTCAAACTGAAAGGAGTAATTGTCTACTTAAAAAAAATCTAGTTAATTAGCATAATTGGGAGTAAAAGGGCCATGTTCCTCTCCCAGTGTTGGGGTGCATTGCCTGAAGGTGCGTTCTGGGTCTCTGGCAGAGTCAGCCACTCAGCCAGGGGCTGGGGTCCCCAGGTCAAAAGGAAGACGGAGAAGGTGGGAGAGGCACGGTGTGGGTGCACCCAGGAGATGTCAGTTTATGCACGATGCACCCCTGTCTTCCGGCAGCGACTGTTCGCCTGTTCATCTTGGCAGCTTTCCAGCTACCCTTTGATGTGTGTTTAAGGAACACCTGCTGGGAAGGCAGCCAGCGTGTGTTCTCAGCCAAAAAAATTTTTATTGAAGTTTGCAGAGCATACTCCCCCCTCCAATGCGCCCACCTGTCCCTACTGCCAAAGAGGTTTTCTTCTCTGGCTGTCAGGGCAGGATGAGAGCTTGTCCTCAGTTCCATGCACCGGGATGGGGGACCTTCAGGGCACCGGGCACAGCAGAACTCATTTGTTAGGTGGCCCAGAATCACAGCTGGTGGCAGTGTCTGCTTCTGGTGAGTTCAGGAGGCTGGGGAGAGGGAAGCAGCCCTTGCTGTTCACTGGCAGCGTTCCAAGACTCCCCACACCCCCACTCTTATTGGCACCATTGTTTAGAAGGAGAAACTGAGGTTAAATAATTGATTGAGGATCCCCCTGCTAGCAACTTGCAGAGCAAGGATTTAAATGCATGAAGCCCACATCCAGGGTTCATGTCCTTAAGCCTCCGAGTAACACTGGAGACTTATTTGCGATGAACCACAGAGCACGAGAGAAGGAGAGGGATGGGTAGTCAGCATCTGATGTGTGGAGGGCCCTGGCCTCAGCACCAAGGCTGGGTGGCAGCCAAGACCCAGTCCCTGCCACTGAGGCCCCTGCAGGCTGGAGCGGCTCCTGGGCTCTGGGTTCAAATCCTGCTGTTTTTCAGGTGTTGCCCAAGTGTCTGAATGTGGGCTTCCTTCTTCCAGGCCAGCTCTCTGCTGTGGCCAGGGAGTGCAGTGGAGGATGGCCCAAGTCCTTGGGCCCTGCACCCTCATGGGAGACCAGGAGAAGCACCTGGCTCCTGGCTTCGGATCAGCACAGTGCGCCGGCCGCAGCGCTCTGGCTGCAGCAGCCATTGGAGGGTGAAGCAACGGTAAAGGAAGACCTTTCTCTCTGTCTCTCTCTCTCTCACTGTCCACTCTGCCTGTCAAAAAAAAAGTGACTTTGTATTCATTGTCTCCTGTAAACAAATGATCCCTAAATGTAGCAACTCAAGACCAGGAGCACATAATTTTCTAATTTGAAGCTTCTGAAGACAGGAGATCTGTAGGGAGCTTGGCTGGGTGGTCCTGGCTAAGGGTCTCTCATGAGGCTCAACTGAGACCAGGGGAATCTCCTCCCCAGCTCACCTTGGCTTTGGTCCCTCACCATGTGGACCTCCCTGGAGGGCTCCCTGTGTTGTGGGGCCAGGGAGGGAGAGACTTCCCAACAGCAGCTACGGTGTCTTCTGTAACATAACCTCAGTAGTAACACCCCACCAGCCACCTCAGCCCTGCCCTGTTGGCCGTGCTGACCAATGCTGACAGTGTGGGAGGAACCATGAGGGTAGGAATGCAAGGAGGTGGGGTTACTGAGCCAAGGCCCCTGTGGGCAGCAGGATGGGGAGCCCAGGGGGTCCTGGGAGCCCGGGTACACCTTAGAGCTGCCCCCATCCACAAGTGGACTGGTTCCCATCCAACAGTTACCTGGCAGTGGCCCAGGGCGCCTCCATGGGCATTCATGCCAGCATGTTCAGCTTGCCCTGTGCACACAGCAGTCTTGACAGGTGGTGCCCATGGCAGGCAGCCTCACTCTGGCCCCCATTTCCTGGGCTGTCAGGGAGGTGCCAGCCCTTGCCTGGCAGAGGGACCGTGCAGCAGTTCCCCTGGCCCACAGGAAGTGCTCCGCAAAGCAGAGGTGATAGGGCCAAGGTGATTGGTCATGCCGCTAGGTGAGGGTGAAGTGAGGCGATGGCAGCCCTGCTTTTGGTTGCCAGGTTCCCTGATGCTCATTCGTGTGCTCAGCTTGTCCCCTCTCAGACCCCAGACAAGAACACTCCAGAAACACATGCCCCGGTGCTCAGCATACCCAGGGACAGCCGGGGTGGCAGCTGATGGCTCAGCAGCCCTGGGCGCACAGGGCCCAGTGAGCACAGAGTGGTGTTGGCACCTTGGACAGCTCCTGAAGCCTAGGCCTGGCATAAGCCCACTGCACCTGCTCTGTCCGCTTGGTTTGCAGCCCTTCTGTCACTGCCCTGGCATCCTTGGTCACCTTTGAACAAGAGGCCTGGCACCTCCGTCATGCACTGGGTGTGGGAACCACAGCAGCACTCCCTCCCTGCCGAGGACCTCTGTTCCCCCTTCCAGGTCCGCCCTCTCCTGGGGCCCGGTGGCTCCAGCTCTCCCCTGTCCAGGGAGGGCCACACCTACAGGAGCCCTTGTCCTCTGTGTCCTATGGGGTTCAGCCAGTGGGAGGCCTGGCAGGAGAAGAGTGGGCACTGAAGGCCAAGGGTGCCCCCCCGCCAGCTCCCTCTGGGCTGGGTCATGCAAGAGTCCTCCGGGGAAGCCACAGTCTTCTCGCCCTTGCCCAGAGCCCCAGCCACTGTCCCCTGCTCGGGTGACGACTCCTGACCTGGGTTTCTGCCCAGGGTTGCTGCACTGATGCCTCACCACTTTTGGTGCCCTCTGTGCACCTGTCAAAACAGCTGCTGTCTCAGACATGGGCACCTCTTGCTTCCCACCAGGACGCCCTGCCCTGATGCCCTCTCCCATGGCTGGGTGGGAAGGGGGGCAAAAGCCTGCAGGTGACAGTAAAGCCCCTGTGCGTGGCCAGTGCTGTGCAAAGCCATACTCCCACCCTTGGTTTCCTGGCTCTAATGGCCAGTTGCTTTTAACTGGTATCCTAGACTGCCACAGGCCTGCCTGCACATGCACACACACATATGTGCATGTGCACATGCGTACACACACATGTACACACACATGTCCATGTGCACCCATGCATGTTTACACACACACACACACACACACACACACACTGCTCCTTGGCTGACAGTTCTCCTGGAGAAGTTCAGACAACCAGAGAGAGCTCTAGCTGGGGGCCTCTGGCTTTGGGAGTGAGATGTGGAGCCTGAACTGCTCCCCAGCTTCTGGCCTCCAGCCCGGGGGGATGCAGGCAGCCAGCTGTCTGTGGAGGGTGCCTCCCCTCAGAGCAGGTTCCCCGAGGCAACAGCTTCTAAGCCCAGACCTGAAGGGGCTGAGGCAGGAAGGTCCACATGGCTCCATGCCGGTTTTGTGCCCCAAGCACAAGTACGTGGAGGGCTGGTGCCACTGAGACAAGGTGGGCTCAGGGATGGGGCCAGACAGAGCCTCGCTCTCCACTGCAGAATCACTCTGGCCACCAGGGAAGGGGAGACCGGGGCGTGGGTGTTGTGGCACAGCAGGCTAAGCCGCCGCATGGCACCCCCTTGTCCCATATCAGAGTGCCTGCTCTGAGTCTCGGCTGCCCTGAGCTTTGAACCCAGCTCCCTGCTAATGCACCTGGCAGGCAGCAGGTGATGGCTCATGTACTTGGGTCCCTGCTCCCCTTGAGAGAGACACGGATGGAGCCTGTCTCTCCCTCTGCCTCTCACGTGAATAGATACATCTTTCAGAAAAGAGAATCAAGTAAGGCGGGGATGAATGGATGAGTGAAGAATGAATGAATGAGTGAGCGAGCATCCTCAGACCTTTTCATGAGTTCATCTTGACCGCTCCCTTCAGTAGAGAGAGAGGCAGGAGGAGGAGGAGAAGCCGGCAGTGTGGAGCGGGGGCCCAGCGGGCAGGCAGCCGGGCCTGCTCTGCTGCTGCACAGCCCCAGGGAGCCGCTGTAATCGCAGCCACCAGGAGAGGATCAGAGCAGGTGGCGCTGTTTTCCCTCTGAGGGGGTCCCCAGCCAGCCCCTCTGATCCTCCTTCAGCCCCCTGGGCTGCTGCCCCCACCCCAGGCCACAACAGGCTCCCAACAGCTGACCTCGCAGAAAAGAGAGCAGGCACTGGACAAACAGCACCCCTTGGAGGTGAGGCGGGCCCCAGGCCCTGGCCTGCAGGTGCCTGTGAGCTCCCACAAGGCCAGAGCATTTGTTCCTGTGGATTAAGTGTCTGCTCCCTCTCCCGCCCTGGCTCTGGCACCTGCTCCTTTGTCTGCTGCTCCCTCTCCCTCTCCCTCCACCTCCCTCCCTCCCTCTTTCCCTCCTTCCCTGTCTCCCTCCCTCCCTCTCTTCCTCTCTCCAGTCCTCTCCTTCCCTCTCCCTCTTTCAATTGCAAACTGAGGAGGTGAAGGGAGGCAGAAGGCATGGAAGCCAGGCAGCCCAGGAGAGAGCCAGTGGCCCTGCCCACGCTTCCGGTCAGCGTCTCCCTGGACCCCACAAGGGTCCTGCGTGGCAGGTGCTAGCTACGGGCTTACCTTGCAGAGCTGGACAGGGAGGCTCAGAGAGTTTTTGTCACCTGCCCTGGGCCCCATGAGCCGAGTCCAAGTTGGTGTCCAGGAGATGAGGAGCATTTGTTTGTGAGAGCAGATGTGGTGGCGAGAAGAGGAGGTGCAAAGCTTTATTTGAGTAGGGGCCAGGGGTGCTGGAGAGCGAGCTGGCTGGTGGAAGGCAGTCCAGGGGTGTTTGTATATCCTGTGCCTCCTCTCCAAACAGCAAACAGTGCTCACACATTGGCTACTAAGAGAACAGGGATTTCAACGGAATTCCTTCTAAGTTGTTGGTGGTGAAATTCTGTCTTGCAGTCCATTGGCAAACACTGTGATGACTGGACTTGCATCCTGTTTTGTTCCGTGTGTGCGTGCTGGTAGGGAACCATGACATGGTGTCAGAGGCCTGAGCCTGGTGGAGGTCATCCGACTGCTGCTGTTCTTGGGCTCTGTCAGCAGAGAAATCACAGAGCTGAACTGTGCGTCCCTGTGTGCATCGGCCATGCCTGTGTGCCCACGCAGTGGTCAGGGCTGAGTGTCCCCAGGCTGGCCAGGGCTGTGTGCAGCAGTCTGTGCCCAACAGGGTCAGTGCGGGGCAGCCTGAGGTCCCTGACACCTGGGAGAGGGATGGCTGTGGGTGAAGGAGCCTGGGCTGCTCCTGTCTGACCCCAGAACTCCCTTGGGGTCCGGGGTCCAGGCCTGGCTTAGCTCCAAGGACCCTGGTCTCCCCACTCAGCGATGCCATGAACAGGTCCAGGCGGGGCCCTGTGAGCACTCAGACACCTTCTGCCCTAGGGTCACCCCTAAAGTACCTGCCTGGTCTGCCAGAGGCTTTTTTTATTTATTTATTTTTTTGACAGGCAGAGTGGACAGTGAGAGAGAGAGACAGAGAGAAAGGTCTTCCTTTGCCGTTGGTTTACCCTCCAATGGCCGCCGCGGCTGGTGCGCTGCCAGGTACTTATCCTGGTCTCCCATGGGGTGCAGGGTCCAAGGACTTGGGCCATCCTCCACTGCACTCCCTGGCCACAGCAGAGAGCTGGCCTGGAAGAGGAGCAACCGGGACAGAATCCGGCGCCCCGACTGGGACTAGAACCCGGTGTGCCGGCGCCGCTAGGTGGAGGATTATCCTAGTGAGCCACGGTGCCAGCTTATGCCAGAGGCTTTTGACCATAGGGGTAACTTCACCAGCTCTCCCCAAGTAGCCCAGTGTCCCCAGGGTCTGGACCTGAGCCTGTGGCTGACAGTGAGCAAAGACAAGGTCCCTGCTCCCCAGGAGCTCTGGCCAGGCTGGGGACAACACCCACCACAGACGCTGAGCACTGTCACACATTCTCCCAGCAACCTCTTCAGAGTGAGTTTAGAAGTTGTGCAAGCCGAGAAGGGATGCCAGGGCCCTCGGGGTGCAGGGAACAGCCTGACCCGGTGGTGAGCCTGAAGGTCACAAGGTCACAGTGTGGCCAGGGGACTGGCTGGGGGGCCAAGGGGCAGGAGCAGGAGCAGGCAGAGCGCCCACGGGTCCTCCGTTCCCACCTGCCCACTGTCTCTGCAAAGCACCCCGTGCTGTGCTGCTGAATCAGTTCTGCTCAGCCCCCACCCAGCTTGCATATCCCCTGGAGGCATCGTCCCCAGGTGTCACAGAGGTGCAGCCACATAGATGGCAGGGAGAGCAGCTGTGAGGGCTGGTGCCCCTCTGCTCTTTCCCGAGAGAGAGGGGCAGCTCCCTCCCATCAGAGGGCAGGGCCAGGGAGGCCAAGGCTCTGGCTGAGGCTAAAGGATTCAGATGCAGTGGGCGTGGCTTGGGGGAAGGGAAAGGCATGATGGGAAGGGCTGGATCCCTGTAAGAAAGGCCAGGAGTGCACGGGGGAGGGCAGTGGACATGCCAACAGGGTGGTGGGGCCAGCACAGCCCGTGGGCACCTCCAGCTCGCCAGGAGAGCGTGGAATCAGCATTTGGAGCTGTCACAAATGATTAATTCATCAGAAACACAGCGTGCTGGAAAACTGGCTCTGACTCAGTGGCTCGTTAATGCGCCGCCTCTCTAGGCCCCACATGTTATTTAAAGCTCAGAGACAGAGCCTGGGGAGGGGAGGAGCGGGTGGGCTCTGGGCCTCCCGGCCCCTGGGCCTCCCCCGTGTGTCAGTCAGTGCACAGGCTGAAGGGAGGATGGAGAGAAGGGCTCTTATCTGGGCGGACAGCTCTACAGCAGCCCCTGGGCTCCTGGCCATCTCAGAGCAGCGCTTGATAAAATGTGCAACAAACTCATAAATGCTAGGATGGGAACAGGTGTTTCTGTCAGGTGCCAAGTGCTCTGTGAGCTTGGAAGAAGAAGAGAAGATCAAGGAAGGCTTCCTGGAGGAAGGGGCAGCGGGAGTAAGCCATCCAGAAGAAAGGCACAGACTGGTCCTGCCTGGGGCCAGCTCTGAGCATCTTGTCATTTCATCCTCGCGACAACTCAGTGATGGTTCTCATTATTATACCCATCTCGCAGACGAGGACACCGAGGTCCAGTCAGGTTAAGCCTTTTACCCAAGGTCCCAGAGCCGGGAGTTGGGACTTGATTCAGGTGGCCATGCCAAGGACGTCCTCCCAAGTTCCCAGAGTGTACCCACTCGCTGCTCAGGACCCCCACGCCGCCCCCTCCCGGGAGCACCTTTGTCCCTCCTGTCAGGTGTGCCTGTGGGGGCCCTGGGCTCCACGGCCTGGAGCTGCACACATGTGTGCAAGGGGACGTTGGCGCAAAGATCCCAGGGTGGACACGTGGGAAGGCGGGCCTCACTCTGCACTCGGTTGCCACGGGCTGCTCATCGTGTGACCGGCCACCTGGTGTGGATTCAGAGTCCTTCCTTCCTGTCCACAGAGAGGGCAGACAGGGAGAGTCACCAGCCAGGCTTCCCACTGCTGGCCCCCAGGGAGCCCCCTTGTCCTCTGTGTCCCTGTCCTTCGGCCTTCATTGTCACCACAGTCCCCTCTGATGATCCACCAATGGGGATCCTGTGTCAGGGGCAGGGTCCCTGTGCCTTCCCTGGGGAGTATGGGTGCCTGCGTGTGCACCCAGTGCCAGAGGCCATGGTGCGTGTGTGCCCAGAGCATGTGTGCACACTGGGGGTGACTCTGTAGGTCAGCTCTTATGTGCCCAGTGTGAATACTAGTGTGTGGAGTGTGAGCTCTGGTGTAGGGCAGCTGCTGGAACCCTGGCCACAGCCTCAGCAGCTCAAGGGGTGGAGGTGTTGTCCTGAGCATCCGCCAGTGAACTTGGCTGACATCCAGCACCCTGCCCCCTGCCGGCTGCACCCCAGAGACCCACAGGAACAGGGCTGCCTCTACCTGGGCGCACCTGCCCACCATAGCAAGCAGCAGATAGACACGCAAGGCCCTTGCCCTGAGGACGCACAGTTGCCGACTTGTCCCATGGGCAGCTTTGAGCCCTGGCCCACCTCACTCCCGCAGAACAGGAAGTGCAAGTCTCCAGAAAGCAGCCCGCACCACCCAGCAGGATTCTGCGCACCTTAGAAGCCACTCAGATGGCTGCTTGTACCTATGCGGGGGGCACGCAGGGGGCCCCTGGCATGGGGCTGTGTGCATAAGGACGGTGCCCCAGCCACGGGGGAGCCCGGCCCCCTGGGTGGGGACACAGCAGGCTGCTGTTTCTGTCTGTGCCACAGTGAGTGCGGGCTTGTTGAGAGCCTGGGGGTGAATGCATGGATACAGGCATGCATGTGCTGGGGAGCATGGGGGGCGATTGCGTGTGTGTGTGTGTCACCTGGCCAGAGCGCTGCCGGGGCTGCCTGACGTACGCTGAACGCCGCACACTCGCACAGCCCCCTCCCCCCAGCATCACTCCTTGCACGGCCCTGGCCCCTGGGAGCTGAGATGCTCGATTTCCCAGCTGATGGTTTAGCAGCTCATTCGCTGCTCATTTGTGGCCATCTGCCACCTTCCCGGCTGCACCTGGCACTGCTGCCTTGCGAAGGAATGGCGGCAGGGCAGTGGGGGTCGGGTGACAATCAGCTCCCATGCTCAGCCACCAGCTCCAGAGTTGGGGGTGGGGGCAGGGGGCTGCCAGGCTCCCTGAAGGCCAGGAGCCCCGGAGCAGGGGAGGGGAGAACAGCCTGTTTCTGAGTTCATGCCCCTCTCTTCCAGAGAGGATTTGGGGGTCTCCAGCAGCACCCCCTCCCAGGCTATGCACCTGGCCCTGCAGGGGCCTCCAACCAGAATGGGCCGGTCCCTGACCAGTGCTGAGACTGCCCCAGCTGCTGCTCAGCCTCCACACACCCCACGTGGAACTGTTTTCTGCTGCTGCCTTTGACAGATAAGTAAACTGAGGTTCACAAGGGTGCCCAACATGCACCGGGCACTTATAGCCACCTAATCCTTGGGCTGAGGCTTCCCTGTTCAGCCCTGTTAGAGAGGTCACCTCCTCCAGGAAGCCCTCTTGGCAAACAGCCTGGAAGACCCTGGCCTGAGGCATGTGGGTGCTGGGGCAGGCAGAGCAGGGAGTCCAGGGCCACCCCATCTTCTTTGCTGACCGATGTGAAGGAAGCAGCCATGCCAGCTCCACGGAGTGGTGGGGAGCAGCAAGTGCAGAGGCCTGGGGCAGGAAGGGGCTGGGATTGGCAGGACACGCCCACATGGCTACAGGGTGCAGAGGGGTGGGGGTGGGGGGGGCCAGAGGGACTCTGCAAGGTCGCATGGGGCTTCCTGTATGTTTCCCATCATGCAGAGCTCCAGGCCACCTGCTCCAGACATGACTGCCCATCCCCCAGGTCTCTGAGATCCCTGTCTCACTCAGCGGCCGGAGAAAGCATTTTGGCTGCCAGGCCTTCCTGTGGTCCCAGGCCACAGTCAGGACAGCGCCCTCGGGTTTTAGGGTCTGGGACACCAGCAGCCACGGCTGGCTGGGCTGGGCCGTGAGCCTCTGTGGTTTGTAGGTTTCTGCTTCCCCAGCTCCTGTGTCTCCCTGGAGCACAGTGGGGAGACAGAGAGGGACTCCGTGCAGGCCCAGAACTGCCCACTGCGTGGGGCGGGTGCAGCGTCCAGGCTCCCGACCTGGCTGTGCCCGACATAGGGAACCCAGTTTCTGCCTCACTGAGGCAGGAGACAATAATCCGGGTCAGGGACGAGAGACTTGTAAGAGGCCATATAGTCAGCGTATAGGTTTGTGGGCCTCGTGGTTTCTGCCCCCTGGGTCAAAGCAGCCATGGACAGTACGTGGTGTGGCTCCGTCCCAGTGGTGGTAGGCAGAACTGGGCTACCCCTATCTAGGTGACCTGGCCATGGTATTAACCAGGACACCTGAGATCGCCAAGCACCAGAATCCCTGTCCCAGCTGGCTTCAGGCTCAGCCTCCCCTAGGGCAAAAGGGCTTATTGGGCCATGAAAGGGAGAAGTGCCACTAGGACTTCAGGCACAGCTGGATCCAGGAGCTCTAGTGGTTGTATTGAGACCCATCACACCCAGGTTTCACGCTTGCCCTGACCACATGTATCCCTGTTTCAGCTTCACTGGGTTCAGGCCCTCCTGTCGCGAGGACGACACAGCTGTGAGCAGTGGAAGTCCCAGGCTCACCCCGGACTGGCCAGGCCTGTGGCTCGTGCCCACCTCACAGCAGCACCCTCCCCAGGGTCAATGTCACCCTGTGGTTTGGCCTCATGGGACTGGTGCCTCATCGACTGGGTTTGGGACTCCCCATGGGGCAGGCACCTATGTGTACCACAGTAGTCAGAGCAGCCCTGGCACTGGACACCTCGGAAGTCCACGTGGCCCCCAGGTAGACAGTCGGCGCTCTTCCCAGTGTCCCTGCTCCTCCCTGGGTCATCGCAGCCTCCTCATACCTCCCAGGCCCACGCACTCCCTGTGGAGCCCACACTGTGCTCCATCACCCACCAGCCTCCAGCCGCTGCCACCAGAGCCAGGTCCTAGGGCTCCATGAGCACCCGGGGCCCCCACGGTCTCTCCTCAGCCTGGACTTGCTAGACAGAGTCTGTGTCAACAGGGACGTTCAAAGCTGTGTGACCTACAGCAAATCCGTCTCTGTGCCCTCAGCCTCCTCACCTGGAACTTGGGGGTCCTAAGAAACCTGGGTCACTTCTAAAGTACAAAATCCCACAGAAACACGGGTGTCCCTGTACCTCGAGCTACGCCTTCCTCCAGGCTGCAGTCACAATTCCTGCTCCAGCGGCTCCGCCCCCTCCTCCCACAGGCCCCACCCAGATAGGCGTGGCAGCCCCAGGTGCCTCACCCACCCTGCTCTGTCTCCTGCACCCACACTTGCCGCTGCCTGAGGGGTTGTCCCAGGCTGTCCCTGCAGGTGCCTGGGCTCGGTGCTGTCCCCAGGTGATGCCCCCGCTGCTGGGCCAGTGCTAAGGAATGTCCTCTCTCCCTTTCCAGTGCACCTGTCCCCTGTGGCCAGCCAGGGCCACCCCTTCCTCTGACTGTGTCCTTTTTTTAATTTTTTATTTATTTTTTTAATTTTTTGACAGGCAGAGTGGACAGTGTGAGAGAGAGACAGAGAGAAAGTTCTTTCTTTGCCTTTTGTTCACTTTCCAATGGACGCTGTGGCCAGCACACTGCGGCCGGCACACCATGCTGATCCGAAGGCAGGAGCCAGGTGCTTATCCTTGTCTCCCATGGGGTGCAGGGCCCAAGCACTTGGGCCATCCTCCACTGCACTCCCTGGCCACAGCAGAGAGCTGGCCTGGAAGAGGGGCAGCCGGGACAGAATCCAGCGCTCCGACCGGGACTAGAACCTGGTGTTTCGGCGCCGCAAGGCGGAGGATTAGCCTAGTGAGCCACGGCACCGGGCCTGACTGTGTCTTGAGTCCCATTCATTTTCTCCCCAAGCAGTGAACCGCTGTCACCTGTCAGCCTGCAGCCAACAGAGGTCACGTGTGTTTTCCCGTCACCTCATGGCTGCCATGGAAGTCCCTGCAGCGCTGTCTCCATGCAGAGTGGCTTCAAAGCTGTGGTGACCACAGCCAGCGCTGGCTCCTGCCATCGGATGGGCTCACGCAGGAGCGTCTGCGCGTCTAGGGCATGATGTCCACCCGTAGCGTGTATTCGTAGCTGTTCTGTCCTCACCTTGTGCGTGGGATCTCAGCGTTGAGAGCTGGTCCTGAGCAGGGCCAAGCCTCGCAGGAGCACACAGAAGGTCCACGGCACCCAGCTCAGTGAGGTCGGTTAGACGGCAGTATTCCCCCCAGCCTCTCCTCCACTCACCTCCCCACCTGGCCGCATGCAGCTAATGGGACCAGCCACACTCACGCCTGGTCCTTGCCAGCCCTGGCTTGGTGCCTCTTGAAGTACAAAGCAGGTGGCCATTGGGTCCAGTGGGAACGGGCCCTGCCATCCGCCCCCCTCTCAGTTCAGCAGGACTGGGGCAGGTCCGTGCAGGTCCCACACCTCCCGCCAAGCACGCAGGGTGGTTCCCTGGGAAGTGCCTGTGGCTCACCCACCTGGGAACGACGAGGACCACAGGAGAAGCCTGGCCTTTGCCTCCCTCTGGTCTCTGCAGGGGAGCTGGCCTAGAACCCACTGCCCCAGCCCCAAGACAGGGCGTGCAGCCTCTGGGACACTCACAGCCTCTCTCGGTCTCCATGAGCAGCCAGGAGTGCATGCAGAGGTCTCCTCTGGGACATGTGGCTTTGGAACACAGCACAGAGGACACTGGTGGGGGCCGGGGGGCCAGGGGAGAGAGAGGGAGAACATGGGTGTCTGGGCAGTGGGCTGCCTGGGATGCCAACATCCTATATGGGAATATCTGGTCCAGTCCTGGCTGCTCTGCTTCTAAGCCAAGTTCCTGCTAATGAGCATCCCAGTGGGGCGCAGGTGATGGCTCAAGTAATGGGGTACCTGCCACCCACATGGGAGACTTGGGTTGAGTTCCAGGCTCCTGGCTTTGGCTTGGCCCAGTCCTGGCTTTTGCTTGTTTTGGGGGAGTGAACTTGTGGTTAGATGATGGATCTCTCTCTGTCTCTGTCTCCCTTCCTGTCTTTCAAGTAGGCTAAGTAACTAGATAGATATAGATAGATAGACAGATACATAGATAGACAGGCATAGATAGATGATAGAAGGATTTTTTTAAAAAAAGAGTTGGAAGCCCCTGAGTGCCTCAAAGCCTCCCCATGGCACACGCGCACCACACGCAGTTTGGAAGAAGGCGTGGGTCGGGGCGTGCCGTGACAGAGCAGGGGCTTCTCTGAGGAGCTGCTGAGTGGGACGAGCAGGGGGCACAAGGACCCAGGACTGTGGGGCCATCCGCACACACAGACAGCAGGGAGCCTGGCTGCCCATCTGTGCACACTCACATACACAGCACACTGTTCCCGCTGGGGAGTGAGGATGAGAGAATTGCTGCCCTAAGGACTGTGAGCGTTCCCACAGGGGGACCCCTGACCAGCTGGGGTGATTCTGAGCATTCTGAAGAGGGGAGGGAGGGAGAAAAGTCCACAGAGGCAGGAGGAGCGGGTGGGAGAGTAAGGGAGGGGACAGGTGGTCCCCTCTTCCTGTACCTGTGAGCATCTCCCCAGCCGCCATCAGCCTGGGGCCCAAACGCCGAGAACCAGGTTGGCAGTTTTCTCTCCAGTGGGATTTCAGTTCCCGTCCTGGTGCCGCCTGCCCCCTTGTCAGGCAGAGCCAGAAAGGACCTCACCGCTGGCCCCGCGCCTGGCCCTGATTGCCCATCGTTTCCACAGACGCACTTCCCACTGGGCTTCCCTCTCCCGGATCTATTCTAGGAAGTCAACAGCTTCCGCCTGGGATGAAAACGCCGAGTCCGCGTTTTCTCATCAAGAATGGTCCTGGGATTAGCTGCTCTGCGGATGGCAAATAAGGAAAACCGCGCGGGCTCGCGCTGCTCCAGTGCCTGCTCCCACACCTCGGCCCTGGGGGACAGTCGCCCCGGGCCGGTCTGGCCTGCCCACTGACACCAGACCAGGAAGTCCTAGCATGAACTGCTGCTCTCCCGGAGTCAGCCCCTGGGGTTGGCACTCCAGTTGTCCCCCAACCCGGGCAGCTGGCTTGCCCGCCTCCTGGTGTGCACATGGGAAATGCACGTGGTCTTAATGTCACTGCCCATGAACCTCCTGAAGCCCCTTCCTATGGGTCGCCTCCCCTTCCCGCACCTCTGGAACACATGGGCTGAACGTGACTCCCCCTTCCCCGCCCCAGGAATGCTCCCAAAAGAGCCCCAAACGAGACCCCTCCAACACCGAGGTATGGATGCTAGCCGTGGCACATCTTCTGGAACATCCTAGGGTTCAGATCTGGTTGCAAGCCTCTGCTAGGTCAAGTTCCATGTCATTCCACCGTGTTTGGACACAGAGCAGTTTTCCCTGATCTGGTAAAGCCCCTCATGCACATGGAGGGTGGTGGACAGCGTGGTTAAGGATGTGTGCATCTGAGCCCCACCTGCAGGGCCCAGAGAACACTCCCACTTCCCTGAGCCTCTGTTCCCACAGGGACGGGCCACCTGTGAACCCTGTGTGCAGTAAGTGAGTTCATCTACACAGAGGGCTGAGCTTGGACCCGACGTGAGATGCAGGTGGGTTGGTTCCACCCTAGGATCTGAGGAGATGGGGTGCGTATGACTCAGGCTCAGTCAACACTGCATCAATGCCTTTGACCTCATCCTGTGACGGGAGAAGGATGTGTGTGGGGAGCGCTGGCAGCCATCCTGTAAACACCCGGGGTGAATGAAACCCCGAGGACAGGGGAAGGGGGACCCAGTGCCGCTGACGACAGAGAGCCCCGGCCTCGCGGCTGTGCAAGGTGTTCAACTCCATCTCCAGCCCTTGAAGCCGAAGGAAGGTGGGGGAGGGGAGCCACTCCGGCCAGAAAAGGAGCAAGCCGGGAGGCCCTTGGACACCTTTGAGCAGTGACTCTGAGCTTCTCTCTCTTCATCTACACAGGCGGCTCAAGCCATCAGGAGCAGGCACCGAGCTGGCAAAGGTGGAGCTGTTCTGGCTGAACCAAGGGTGATGGGCAGGACTCAGGTAACCCTGGACTCCGCGTACCCTCACTGTCTCAGAGGCATAGGGTGGCCTGGGTGGGGGGAGCTCCTGGACAACCCAGGAGGAGAAGCCAGTCTCCCCAATGTCTCCGTGACACCTGCTCCCCCCATGCCTGCCTCCCAGGCTTCTGGTTTACCTTCTGCCCAGGCACGCCTTGGCCTCCAGCACCTCCTACCCTCCTCGGTTCCCAAGGAGCCTCCTGATCCAGGGACTTGGTCTGGGTGCTTGCCGGGTGCCCACAGGGGCAGGTGACTGACATGCAGATCCCCCGTGGGGGCAGCTGGGAGTCTGGTGGGGCCCAGCAGGGGTGCTCCTGCAGGGGCAGACCTGTGCATCCGCCTTCCCCACCTCCCCAAGCTCAGAGCCAGGCGCCAGGCAGGCCAGTGTAGCTGGGGGAGTGGGCCAGGCAGGGGTGCTGCAGGTGTCCCGGTGGCTCCCATCCTGGGACCTGCAGAGTCAAGAGCCCAGCAGAGGGGGAGAGGGAGCCGCATATGTAAGGGCCAGAGCCGGGAACCTTGAGTGGCACTGAAGGGCCAGATGCAAACCCCGCGTGTGGAAGAGAATCCAGGGGGCAGGGGTGGTGTCTAGAAGTAAAGAGCCCTACAGTGTGCAAGGCTCTCTCCCCACCAGAGGGAGAGTGAGGACCCAAAGGGAGGCGGGGCAAGGCCCGAGAGGGGAGTCCAGGGCAGCTGGGCCAGAATCAGAGGGGGTTCACAGAGGTGATGAGGCGTGAAGGCGGCCTTGATCCCACACTAGAATCCTGGTAACTGGGGAGCAGTGGCCACCCATCAGGGCACTAGCTGGCTTCCTCCTAGCACCCTCGCAAGGGGCACCCTACCTGCATTTCACATTTTGCAGATAAGGCCCAAAGAGGTGAGGCCACTGGTGCACGGGTCTGTCTGGCTCCAAAGGGGAGAATGCGCCAGGCCACCTGCTGGGAAGGCGTGGGCGGGGGGGAGGGGTCAGGCGCGAGGAAGTGGGCCCCTGGGCAGGGGTCAGCCTGGGGAGGGTAGAGATCCCAGCACACACGACCAAGTACACAAATATTTGCCCATTCAGCAAGGACGCAGCTGCGAGAGCCATCTGCCCCAGTCTGACTCGGGGACCCCACAAGGAAAAGATCTCAGTCCTGCGGTCCCCCGCGGGGTCTGTTGTGGTTTCTCAAGGGGCCGCATGCAGTAATGACTCTTCTGCTAATGGGGGAACCTGTGGTGTGAGGTGCAGTGAAAGCAGCAGCAGCCCTTCTGCAAACAAACACGGAGGCTGCAGGCAGACCGCTGGGTCTCACTGTAGTTCTGGCAAGCCTGGAAGGTGCAATTCTGTGTTGTCATGGAGACGGAGTCTGCCAGGAGCTGCCGATGAGGGTGTTGGGCAGCAGGCAGGAGAGCAGCCTCCGGCCTACACCTGGCCAGCAGGACCTTATTCTGCTGCAGAACACTCAGCGGCTCTCCAGTGTCCCTGAAGGTCAAGGCCTGGCCGTAGGCCTGCAGGCAAGCCCGGCAGGCCCATCCCCAGGCTCCCCATGGCGTCTCTCACAGACTGTGTTGTCTGTCTGTCTCGCACTCAGCAGGTGCTCCGTGTGCATTTGTGGAGTGAAAGAACACATGGATGAAACAGTTCCCTAAATGAGGCTACTCAAACTTTAGTCATTTGCAAACCAGCCAAAAGAGTTTTTGCAAAAATCTGTGCCTGTATCTATTTTTAGTTACTTAAATATTTTCCTTTTTTAGATTAAATAAGTGCATCTCAGAAGGAAACTTTGCATCATCATGGAACTGGAAGACCAGTACGACTTGCCAGAAATAGGTCTCCAGGGACGTGAACACAAGGGCACACGGCTCGCTCACGGAGCGCCACCCAGGGACTCGGCACTGGCAGAGCAAGGGCACAGGGAGCTGCTCCACTCCGTGCCAGGCCTCCTCGCTGCCCCGGCTGGGAATGCCGCTCTGCAGGGCCCACCACCCTAGCTCACAGGGGCGCGTGCAAGTTCTCCCTAAGCTTCTAACCCAAGCCCACAGCGGCCTCCGGTTCAAAACGCAACACTTCTGCATGTTAGGGAGCTCCCAGAATCCCCAGCACAGTTTGCTGTTTGAGACCACATGCCAGGTGCAGTCACGGGCTCCCCGTCCCTCGAGACGGGCGCACAGATGCCCAACAGCCGTGGGGGGCTGGGGAGACCACCTGACCGTCAGAAGGGCCCCTTGCGAACTGGCCTCACACCCCAGCTGGCTTTTGGATGTAGGAAAAGAAATTGAGAGCAACAAAGAGAGAGCGGAATCGACTTCCGATCAGGACTATAAGGGCAAAGGTGACAATTATGAGCAGGGTTACCTAGGAAACACGAAGGAGGCAAACGGGGATTTGTACTCCCCGTAGAAGTAATTTGCAATCCAACACTGGCTTACTGAGGACATCACTGAACTCACACAGGTCTCAATGAACAAAACGGAACTCCCTGGTTTAAATAACTGACACCACGCTCAGGCGTAGCTGGACCCAGGGTCTCAGCCTGCTGCCCGGCTCTCCTTTCCCTCGGGGTTATTTCAGGTGGGGCCGGCTCTGGGCATGGCAGAGGCCCTGGGGGCCTGGCTGAGACCCAGCTCCTGTTGGACAAGAGCTTTAGCAAAAGTCCCAACTGGAGGTCTGCTGTTGAGGCATTCGTCCGTCCTGTGTGCCCTCACTGAAGCCAGGGTGCGGGCTCTGCTTGCCCTAGGTCACATGTCCCCTCTCCCACACGTGAAAGTGCAGGTGCCGTGGCCTGAAGCAGCTGAAGCCAGGGTCAGGCAGCAAACACATCCCTTGCTGCTGCCCGGAGCTGCACGCCACCCCTCCACACACACAAATGGGGTTCACGCGGCACTTCCTCCAGGAAGCCTTCTCAGCCTGTCCCCCGCTGGCCTGTGTGTGTGCTCCTGGCACAGGGAGCTTGTGGGCATGTCTGGGAAAGCCTGTCCCCTGCTGGCCCCCATTCACCTTGTGGTCTGTGGCCCAGGACAGTGCCTGGCTCACAGCTCACAGGACTTTGTGCCCTGCTGCCGGGTGGACACCATGCTTGTGGGAGGCAGCATGGAGAGAGAGAAGCTGGTGTGGCCACCGGCAACCAGTGTTTTGCAGGACCCCAGAACAGATGCAGGGGGTTGGGGTGCGCCACAGTCAGCAAGTGGCAGCCCTGCAGACAGAGAGATGAGGGGAGAGGCCAGGGCTGGAGAGAAGGCAGCAGGGCCCCAAGTGCAGGGGCCTTTGCAAAACAGGGCAGGCAGCCAGCACATGGCAATGGTGGGGGGGTGGTCCTTGAAGGCTGGGCTGGGGTTGGCTGTGGGGGAGGCTGCTGGGGCAGTCCTCAGATTTCCAGATCGGGTAGAGTCTGCAGGTGCACTGTGGTGCGCAGTAGGTTAAGCTGCTGCCTGTGAAGCCTACATCCCATATGAGTGCTGGTTCCAGTCCTGGCTGCTCCACCTCCAATCCAGCTCCCTGCTAATGTGCCTGGGAAAGCAGTGGAAGACGGCCCAAGTGCTTGGGTCCCTGGGAGACCCGTATGAAGCTCCTGGCTCAACAGACCTGGCGTTGCGGCCATCTGGGGAGTGAGCCTGCGGCACGCAGTGGGGTGTTTGGAGAAGGAGAGGGGGTGTCTCGTGCCGGACATGGCTTAGACTCTCTCTCAGGGACCCCTGGGGAGAATGTGTTCATGAGGCAGGGGGAAAGGCATCCCCCAGTTATAAAACAAAGAGGGGGACTGGGTCCCACAGGCGTCCTAGGAGCTGGCTCCAGCTCTCTGTGTAGAACTCTGGGAAGCATTGAGCCAGTGGCCATCGGTTGGAGCCTCTCCCTGGCGGAGGCAGGGCGGGAGGAGAACTTGCCCTCTGAGGTGTGAGTCCCTGCGGGAGGGGTAGAGGGAGGGCCCCTCCCCAGAGCAGCGGGGCAAAATGACTGAGCCTCCCTGGTCTCAAATAAATCATCAGGCACACAGCAAACAAAGGGAGCGCTCTGTCTCCAGCCAAGCGCTGGCCCTGTGGCCAGTCCTCTGAGGACAGACAGTGAGCCCCAGGGAGAGGCGCAGCCTGCTTGTCCAGCATGGCCGCGTCTGAGTGGAGGGCTTCCCCGGGAGCCACACAGGGAGGCAAATCAGGGCCTCCTCTCGACAGGACCGCAGGTTTGCCGAGAAGTGGGTCCCCGGGAACTCGGGTGAGGGTGGGAGGGTAGAGGGTGAAGACGAGGCAAGTCGCGTTCATCTGAGCTAAACGAGCCACCTGACGGCCTGGCTGTCCCGTGCACCCTGGGGTTCACACGCCTGGCAGCCCCGGAACGGCAATGCTGTGTGTTTGCACATGGCCCAGCATGCAGCAGGAAGTCAACAGATGCTTTAGAGTGAAGCCGGTGCATGCACAGACCTAACTGCCATTTCTCCCTGTCTGCTCGAGCCAGGAGGGCCACAGGCTGGGGCCTCTGTGTCCCTGGCTGGGGCTGAGTGAGCTCTGGCTGGGGGTTTGCTTTGAGACGGGCACTGGCATTTCTTGGTTAGGTGACCTTGGGGATACGTTCTCATTCCGGCTCGTGGGGAATGGAGCAGTGAAATCCCCCACGGTGCCCGGCTCCTCATCCCTGCTGCTCTGGCTCCCACTTCAGAAGGCGGAGGACTGAGAGAGACCAGGAAGTGACTTGCCCAAGGGCGCATAGCCAGCAGGAGGCTGGGCCAGGATCTGCCCCTGTGCTGTGATGCGCACGCTTGCAGGCCTCGGGGCCTTGCTTCTCCTCTGTGAAGTGAGGAGGCGGGTTTGGGGAACCGAGGATGGGGTTTAGGGTTGACAGTGAGGCCCCGTGGGTTTGCCTTGCACGCAAGCCTTTGCCGGCACGAGATGTGCAGGAGCCACATCAAGTCAAGCACCAGTGTCGGGCGGCTTCTTGCCTGTGCCACAAAGACGCCGTTCCTCTTGCTTTTAGGGGACACAGGCAGAGCGCCAGCCCCACCACTGCAGCCTTGCCGGCAGCCTCTGCCCTCTCTGTGCCGGCAGGCAGGTGGGAGCCCAGGCCGGCCCCTGCGGGCTGGCCCCAGGTGAGCCTCCTTTCCGCTGATGCCAGCCCCAGCCCTGCCATTGCCTGGCTCTCCAAACAGGCACTGACTCATGAGTGTCGGCAGGCCTGTCGCGCTGAGTCAGAGCTGGTCCTTCACTTCAGCCCTGCAGAGCTGCCAGCTGGAGAGCGGGGGGCAGGGCGCAGACGCTGCTGCTCTGGAAACAACCTTGAACTGACTCCAGGTGCAGGCTGCAGCCCCTGCCCCACCCCAGCTGAGATGCACGGCTCTGTGGTGTGGCGTGTGCCTTGTGCCCACTCCCTGCATGGGTCAGGCACACATGGAGGTCAGGCACACCTTTCTGCAGACGGCACCATTCTAGAAGGAAGAGGGACAGGGTGAGCAGATGTGGATCACAAAATCAGACCTCCTGGGAGATGCGGCTCAGGGTGCTTTGGGGCCCTGGAGCACCTTCCTCCATCCCATAATCCCCCGCACATCTGCAGAGCAGAGCCTGTGGCTGGGGAAGGCAGCAACTGAGGTGGGAGCTGTCTGGCACAGGCTCAGATGTGAACACAAGCGCACGGTGCTTACGGGCAGTCGTTAACACCCCGCAGTGTCAGTCCTAGGACAGCAGCAGGAAGGCCGGTGGCCATCAGCCTGGCGGGTTGCGGGGGAGCGCCTCACGGAAGTCATTGCGCTGAGCATTGACAGGCCCCTGGGAGGCAGCTGGTGTGATGATCCTAGATGGGAGAGAGCTGAGGAGGAGGAGGGCAGTCCCAGAACTTGCTGCTCGAACCCAAGCCCATCCACACCTGGGCTTCGCTCTCTGCCGCTGCACAGCCCCCAATGACCTGACGGCCCCATTGAGGGAGCCGCAGGGTCTACAAAGCACGCCCCCTTCCACTACCACCACCAGGGAGCACTGCCGGCTCCCTGGGGAGCTGAGCGGGACAGGGGGCAGGGAGATGCACTTGTCCCTAGCTGCTGGACTCGGTTTGGACAGAGGCATCCAGCAGGTCCCATGTTGTCTGTGACCTGGGCACCCCACCACCTTGTCCTAACTTTGGGGCATCTCCCAGCCGGTTGCCTGTGTCTTGATGTTTGGGAAGCCATGGAGGCAGCCTGAGGAAGCCATCAGCTTGCGTACCGTGATCTGACGTGACACGAAAGCTGCATCCGATTCCACGCAAGCTGCCTGTGGCAAATGACCTTCTATTTTTACATTTCTCACAAATTGGAAATTTCAAGGAGGCCAGATCTTGCAGAGCGATTGGCTGTGGCATTCCATGAACTGGAGATGGGCAGCTCAGTGGAACACACACCGCGTAGGGTGTTGGGGTGCAGGTGGGGGGCTGGCTGGGCCCCTGGCATGCAAGCCAGGCCAGGCAGTGCAAGAGTTGGTAGCTGCCTGGGACAGTGGCCTGCAGCCCTGCCCACCTGTCGGCTCCCTGGTATCTGCTGATCAGTGTCTCCTGCCAGCTCTTGAGTTAGCTGAGCTCTGGCCAGAGGGACAGTAAAGGTCAGAGATGCCCTGAGAGGCATGGGCATCAGGTTGCTTCGGCAGCCTTGTTGTTGGGTCAGGTGGTTCTGTGTGGGTAGGGGCAGCCCCGCAATGAGGTGAGTGCAGACATTTGCCATGAGGGCTGCTGTGAGCTGCGCTGGACAGCACCAGACAGCTGGCCGGGAAAGTGCTCTTACGGCTGCTAGGTTTCAGGGCCAGAGAAGCCAGCAGGTGCCCGTGAGGTACCGGAGAATGATCCATAGGTCAGAATGACCTTGACCCAGAGGAGGCCCCTGCAGTAGCCCCATGGTAAACCTAAGATGATTGTATCGCTGCTACCCATGTTCTCCCCAGCACTGGACGGGCAGCCGAGGTTCAGAGTCCCGAACTCTCGTTTCTGTCTTCCAGTCTCCCAGTCCAGGGGTGGTTACTTCTGAAGCCCAGACCTGAGTTCACCACGTGGTCCCGGGAGTCAGAGCAGCCCACATCTGGTGAGAGGCAGAGACTGGGTCTGTAGGACAGCCCAGGGAGGCACGGCTGTGAACTTTGGGAGCCAAGGGTCCTGTGTCTCCTTGTTCTCCCATAGCTGAGTTCCAACCGGGGAGTCCTTCGCCATGCCCAGTGTTGGAGCTGAGCATGACGGTTCAGCCGGGGGCCCATTCAGTCTCGGTTTCACCACCTCCGAGAAACACCTGAGTTGAGAGAAGCTCGCCTGGGATCAGAAGACAAAGCCCCACGGAGCGTTTTTCCTCCCTGGGTGGAGAGGAAGGGGTGGCGGGGCTCAGACAGAACACACGTTCATCCATGTGAGATTGGATGAAAACGAGCAGCAGGGTGGCCGTGAGCTGGCATAGAAGGGCCCGGAGCCTTGGCACCCAGGAGGGCATGAGGAAGGGTTCTGTGGACACGTGCAGGGAGAGGTGGCCCAGCCAGCTGGGGGGGTGGACGGAAACCCCCAGGCCACAACCCACTCCCCTGCCTCTGGAGAGTTGCTATGCTGAAGACGGACATACCCCACAAGTTCTGGAAGCTTCCCTGAAGGACACAGGGGAGCAGGAGACCTGAGGCGCCTCCCAGGCCTGGTCCCTGTGCCAAGGCCTTGGGCTTCACTCCACCCTCTCTGAGGTTGGTGCTAAGGTGCACCTTGGCCAGAGGAGGTCACAGGCCCAGAGCAGCGGGGTCGCTCACCCCAGGTTTGGGCCAGGTCTTCCCCATGCCAGCCCCCGTGTGCTCCATCCCCCTTGTCTCTTTTTGTGCCTCTGAGGAGAGAAGGGGGTCTTTCCTCCGTGTCTGCTGTTTCCTGTGGTACGGAAAAGGGCTGAGGCTGGGCGAAAGCACAACGCAAAAGCCTCAAAGCCAGAAGCCCCCAGCGTCCCAGGCAGCCCCCCTGGGCTGCAGCCTGAGCTCCCTGGGAGACCTTGGCCACGGGAACCCCCAGCATGGCCATTCCTGGAGCTGGAGGTCAGAGACTCACCTATGATTTACAGAAACAAGCGGGCTCAGGGCCGGAGAAGCAGGGGCCATTCTGTGGAGATGGGGTTCAAGTGCACGGCAGGCTGCCTCGAGGGGACATGGAATGGTCCAGCCCATGCCGCCCCTGAGCTGAGCACTTGGCAAGCAGTGTCCCAGACCCTCAACAAGGAAGCTGAGGCTGAGGCAGCTCTGGGTGCTGCCCGAGGCTGTATCGTTGGCTCCTTCAGCCGTGCAGAGCTGGGCTCAGATCCGGGTCTGTGGGACCCCTGTGCCTGGGCTCCCAGCTTTGAGAAGGAGGTGGGAAATCACTCCCTGGCCGCCTTCTCTGGGCTTTGCTTTCTCCGTCCCCAAAGCCAAGGATTTGGACTGTGGAGCGGGACCCGGGCCAACCCCAACCAGGCGCCAGCCCTCCAGGTGGGGAGGGGGGTTGCATGCCCGCTTCCTCTGCTCCTCATCCAGCTCCCCAAGAATAACCTCCCCAAGAGCAATGATTGGGGGGCAGGGGGGTAAAGAGCCTTTTCTCCAAACGGCAGTGAACATACGCAGCGCTGACACAGCAGGTGCAGTGCTGTTCGTTATGCCACGGAGACTAACAGAGATGCCGGCCCCGTGCCTCTGGGCTGGCAGCAGTGTGCTCAGAAGTGGTGCCAGGGGTCCAGACGAGAGCACAGCTGTCCCCTCCCCAACCTGGGAGGCAGACAGGAGCCACACAGCCAAGGGCCCCTCCTCAGCTCTGAGCCAAGTGGCTCTTTGGACAGGGCTCTGTGGCAGCTGTTCTGGGGGCTTTTCTGGGCAGTCTGGATGGGTCACCTCCGGGGCCAGGCGTGGGCAGCAACTGGACACAGTAAACCTACTGTGTGCCGGGCTCTGCTGTGGGTGTAAGCTCAGCGTCAAAGCCACAAACCCGTCACAGCCCCCACAGCTCTGTTTTCTGGAGTCTAGTGTGCCTGGCTTGGAGTGGGGCACATGGCTGGGTCACCACGGATAACGCCCTTGCCTTCTGTGAGCCTCAGTTTGCACATCTGTGAAATGGGGGTACTGAGGGCTGTGATGCTGCAGGCAAAGCACGCCTCCTCGCCACCCCGGGGCTCAGAGCTGGAGACGGCACAGACCCCGTGGAGGCCACACAGCAGGGGTGAGCGTGGCAACCCGCATCAGCCTCGTGTGCGTCCTGGGAGTTAAAGTCTCGCTCAGACCCCCGACTCACTTCTATCAGCTCTGACTCCATCCCTGTCTCGCTGGACCCAGGAAGCCGTTTGTTTGGGTTTTCATAGGCTAGAGAAAGTCAGGACACCCCCTTCAGACACCCCCATGACCCACATGGATAAACTGAGGCCTCCAGAGGCTCCCCAGGTCCTGCAGGTGCTAGGACCCAGAGCGTCTCACCCCTGGCCCTCAGCAGCCCGGCTCCATGGCTGAGAAATTATTAAATAGAGTTGGTGGAAGGACTCTGGTTGCCATGACAACAGAGCCTGTGTCCTTGGAGATAATGGCATTGCACAGGTGGGGCGATGCACCGTGAATGCTGATGCGGGAGCCGCTGGCACGCGGAGGGGACTGTGTCCTGAGGGGCAGGCCAGGGGCCCGTGGCATGGGCGGCCTGTGGGACGCTTGCCTTGTCTGGTCGCAGGGCCCGGGCTCCCCCTGCAGCAGGGAAGGCCTGAAAGGAGGCTGGACCCGTGCAGCGGGGCTGGCACTGGGAGCACCCGAATTCTGGAAAGACTTGGGGAGCAGTGATGAGGCCAGCCAGCCAGAAGGGGACACAGCGTGGCCTGGTGGCCCAGACCGTCCACTCCAGAGCCCAAGGCATGGCCCTACCCACCTACCCCCTCTCTGTCACTGTCTGCCCGGGCCCTTGTCCTTTGCATCTGCACAGTGGGGTTGATACCAGCACCTGCCCCGTAGGCCCTGTCACGGCCATCACTCAGGGGCAGTGGATCTTGTTGCTAACCAAGGAGGGGGACTAGAAGCACCACTCATGGCCACAAGTGGGCTTGTGATGGGCACAGCTGGACGAGTGCGGGAAGCTAGAAGATGGACAAGAAAATGCAGGTCCCTGTGACGGGCGGGTCTCAGTGCGCGTGTGTGGTCCCTGCAAACCCCCAACAGCTGCGCACAGCAGCAGGGTTTTCTCTTTCCTAGCTGCAAACCCTCCCTTGTGGAAGACAGCGTTGCACTCAGGCCCTTCCTGTGCCAGACCTGCCCAGCTGGCCCACTGTGGGCAGCGCCCTTGGCAGGGACTGGACTGGGTTAACACCCAGAGAAACCCCAAAGTGAATCATTTGCATGCTGGCCAGGGAGGCAGCTGGCTGTGGACCCCTGGCCCCATTTTAGAAGCAGAAGGAGGGTACAGGACTCAGTGCTGGGAGCTGGGGGCCTGGCGGTTGAGATGCAAGCAACCATTTCTGTGTGCTGGCCCACCCCACAGCCAGTCCAGGGTCCCCTGGGCAGCAGCCACTCCTGAGGCTGAGGACAGGTCGGCAGCAAAGAGGAGCCTCCCTCCTGGGACACTGCTGTCCCCCTGGGCAGGACAGGGGTCAGGGAGGCTCTGCGTGGACACGTGCAAGCAGCTGACATTTCACTGGGGTTTGAAGGAACACGCGTGTGCCCTGGGGGTCGCGTGTCATGAGTGATGGCTCTAAGAATCTGAGCCGATCAACGTCTCCCGGGGACTCACTCCACCGTCGCCTGTCTTGATGGAGCTGGCGTTCTGCCCACAGCTTTTCCCCACCTCTGTCTGAGAAGCAGTGATGCTAGCACCGGTCAGGCGGTCTTTGCCATGGCCCAGCTGCTGCTGCACCCAGCACGCACGTTCTTCCACTTCGTCCTCATAGCTCTCAAGGTAGATTGTGATCATCTCTGTTTCTGGCAGAGCTGGGATTCGAACCCAGGTCTCCTGGTCTTCAGGCCCTGCCCTCCCCTGCCATTGTCAGGGTTCCTGAGGACCCTGACATGCCGCTGAGCAGGAGGCGTGCCCAGGTTTGCTCGTCCGACGCGGGACTTCGAATTTTCTCAGCAGAAGTCTGGTTTTGCTTCTTACTACCTAGGACTTTTCACTCTGTAAGGGTGGGGGGCTCTCACCCTGTAGAATTCTCCTGTAAGGGGGGCTCTCACCCTGTAGAATTCTCCTGTAAGGGGGGCTCTCGCCCTGTAGAATTCTCCTGTAAGGGGGGCTCTCGCCCTGTAGAATTCTCCTGTAAGGGGGGCTCTCGCCCTGTAGAATTCTCAAAAGCTCAGTGAATGAAGCGAGAACAGCTGTGCTGGCAGAAGTGAGCACTCATTTGAGTCTTTTAAAAATAAAACTGGCTTCCTCTCGTGGGAAAATATGTTCGCGCCTGGAGCGTGACCCTTCGGCAGCTCTGAAACCCATGCCCTTCCCATTCTCGCAAAATATTCTAAGGCCGCATCTCTCATGTTTTCCTTAAGCCAATAGAATTTTCCTTAAGAGAACAGGAGGAGTTTTTTGTTTTCTAGATACAAAATTGGTGATGCTGAACCTGCGTTTCCAAACCTCATCACTGCTAGGTGTGTGAGATACGCGGGCTTCGCAAAGTTCAAGGAAAATGCGCGTTATCTTCCCTTGCACTCGGAGTTGCCTCACCTGTGGTCCCCCACAAAGGGGCCCTGCTCATGTCATTCTCCCACTCCCCTGAGTAGTGGAGGTGGCTCTGTCCTGGCCTGTAGACTAGAAGCTGTCGAGGGCCGGGCAAGACCCCCGATGAGGTGGGATGTCAGTGGCTGGCTGACGGTGCCCGTGGGACTTTGCTAAGTGGTGCAGCCCCACGCCCCCGGTCCAGGCTGCCAGTTCAAGCTTTAAAACTGTCAGCCGGGGGCCAGTGTTGTGATGTAGCTGATGAAGCCACTGCCTGTGATGCCAGCATCCCATGTGGGCACCGATCTGTGTCCCACCTGCTCCACTTCCAATCTAGCTCCCTGCTAGTGGCCTGGGAAAAGCAATGAAGGACAGCCCACATGTTTGGGCCCCAGCCACCTTGTGGGAGCCCTGTAGGAAGCTCCTGGCTCCTGGCTTTGGCCTGGCTAAGCCCTCACTGTTGTGGCCACTTGGGAAGTGAACCCTCCCCCACCTCTCTCAAAATAAGTAAATTTTTTTTGACAGGCAGAGTGGACAGTGAGAGAGAGAGACAGAGGGAAAGGTCTTCCTTTGCCGTTGGTTCACCCTCCAATGGCCGCCGTGGCCAGCGCGCTGCGGCCAGCGCACCGCGTTGATCCGATGGCAGGAGCCAGGTGCTTCTCCTGGTCTCCCATGGGGTGCAGGGCCCAAGCACTTGGGCCATCCTCCACTGCACTCCCTGGCCACAGCAGAGAGCTGGCCTGAAAGAGGGGCAAGTGGGACAGAATCCGGCGCCCGGACCGGGACTAGAGCCCGGTGTGCTGGCGCCACAAGGCAGAGGATTAGCCTATTGAGCCATGGCGCCAGCCTAATAAGTAAATCTTTAAAAAAAACATTTCTCAGCTGCACACATCTGGGCACTGGCTCTCATTTAAGATGTCTGGTGTGACCACATGTCGCCATCTTGCTCTGTCTGGGCCTCGGTGAGTTGTTCTCTAGAGTGGGGCCGGTGACACCTGCAGAGCTGTCGAGGGACAGAAGTGGATGCTGGGTGGATGCCATGGAGCTGTGTGCGGCCACCACAGGGCACAGAGAGGGTGCTTGGCCGAGGCTGCACCTGCATGGTGACTCGGGACAGCTCCTGTGGCCAGCTGCTGGCCCTGACAGGAGCAGCTGTCGTGTCTCTTTCCCGGATCTGAGCTCTTACAAGGCCCTGACCCCGAGCCCTTGGGAGCCCTTCAGGCACGTCTCAAACAAGAACGAGTGGCTTCCTGCACGTGTGTGTGCACAGGCGGAGAGCCGTGGCCCAGAATGCCAAGCAGGCTTCACGGTGCTCTGCCTTCCTGATCAGAATTCAGGGTTTCTGGCCGGCTGGACTCTGCAGGCCGGAGGCTAGAAGCGGCAGGGAACCTGGGACACGCGGTGGGGGTGCAGGGCCGGAGATGTTCTCCTGTTCTCTGGGGCTCCTGTGGTGCCCAGAGCAGGTTCATTCTGAGTCAGCGCCTTGAGGTGGTTTGGCAAGGATGAAGTTAATGGGCTGGCCTGCTACCGACCCAGCAGAAGGAGGGCAGTGAGAGAGGCCCTGCAGCCTGGGTTCGAATCCCGGCTTCTCCGCCACCTGTGCCCTTGAACTCTGCACGCTAAAGGGCAAGCCCCTGCCTCCTGGCCTTGTCACAGGGGTCGGTCAGTGGGAGACGCAGCCTGGCACTGCTTGTGGGCACCCACAGCACGCAGCTCCCCCCTCCCCCGGGGCTCACCGCCCTGTCCCCCTCTCACCATGCTTTTCCCTGGATTCCTTGTCTGACTCCTCACCTGGGAAGAGACAGGTAGTGAAGCAGCACCTTGCCAGCCACTCGCAGCTGAGCCATCGTCATGGAACCTTGGACCAGCCCTGGGGGTGGGGAGGGTCCTTAAACCCCAGAAAACAGCAGATGCTGCCACTGCCCAGGAGACCCACGGTGTCCTCTGTCGCAAGGGCAGAGCCAGGAGAGCACCTCTTACCTGGCACCGTGTGACCTCCGTGGGGGAAACAGCACCTGGGAGACCCCAGCCCCAGCCGCGCAGAGGCAGCAGAACAGCTGGGGAGGTGGGATGGGAGGATTTGTGGTTGGGGCAAAGGGGAGGGCGCATGCACTGTGGCCCGGCCCCCTTGCCGCCACCTGCGCGCTCGGCCTCCCTGCCTCCCTCTGCACAGAGCCGCCCAGTGCCCTTGTCAAAGTGCAGTCCCATCACAGCTCCCCCTTCCCAGGCTGCACTGGCAGCCGCGAGACCACCGGGGGCCCACAGTGGGAGAGGAGCCGTCGGGAACACGGGCAGCACTTGCTCAGGCCTCTGTCACGCGGATCCGGGCCTGCGAGCGCGTGCTTTATCCATGCCTGTTTCCTCGTCTGTGCCATGGGGGCGGCACGAGAGTTAGATGCCATCATTTGCGTTACGCCCTTCACAGATCTGTTGTGATCATGGCTCCCTCTGCCTGGAGTGGACCGGAGTGAGCGTTCCGCTCCTGCTTCCCTGGCCAAGGTGGAAGGGAGCTCTCGTTTCTCCTGCCCCATCTCTGCCGGCCCAAGGGAGGTGCAGCCCGGTACCCACCTGAACCCCTGCCTGGCCGTCCCCTCAGCTTTCCCGACTCAGCCTCAGCTCGCCGCTTCTCCCCCTGCACCCAGCCTGGGACCTGGCTCCCCGGAGGTGCTCGGCCACTGCTGGGTGGCTCAGATTGGAAATGGCCTTGAGAAAATGAGGCATGCAGCGGGGTGCTGCTGGGAATTAGGGGCCAGAAGAGACACTCACGAGGTCCTGGGGTGTGAGCGAGTCACGTGGGATGAGATGAGATTGAGGGAAGAAGCCAACACAGGCTCTGGAGTCAGCCACACCGCTCTACCTGCGCAAGGAAGGGAACCCAGAAACAGGGCAGGCAGGGGCCTGGCTTGAGATCACGCAGTGCATGTGGTGCGGTGCCGGGAGCCAAACTTGTGCCTTCACCACTCAGGTCAGCCCCCAAAACACATCCCCGGGGCTGTGCCCAGCTGCCACAAGGCACGAGTGGCAGCTGCGTTGGAGGAGAGCTGGGTCTCCAAGCGGAGAGAGCTGCCCCTTGGGGACCCCATTGGAGCCGCCAGCCCCACAGGCCCCGTGAGGGCTGCTCAGCTGGGATCACGGGCTCTCTGCTGGCTCCCAGGACACCGTGTGGCCGCAGCCGGGCAGCTGCAGTGGCCCTAGTGGGGCGACCACTGAAGCCCCGTGCAGCAGCCTCTCAGGGGTTGGGGTGGGGTTTCTTGGAGGAGCTGTGTCTGGGGAGGGGCAGCTCCCGGACACCTTGAATGTGGGGCTTGTTTTTCTGTGGGCACCTGCCAGAGACAGCAGCTAAGGGCAGGCGCACAGGAATCCGGCTGCCCTGGTTCAAGCTGTGGTGCCCCCGGCTGGGAGCCTTTTACAAAGTCACTTTAGTTCTCTGTGCCTCGGTTTACCTTTCAGTACAATAAGAGAAGGCATGGGGATTCACCACGTGTGTAGTGTGGCCCTGGCATGTTGCAAGCGTGGCCGGCTCACCTCCTCCCTGCATTGCGAGCTCATCTAGTTCATTCCGCTCCCCCTCCTTTGCCCGTGAAAAGCTGGGCCGCTTTTCCTCCGTGCGTGCAGCCGCGGGAGAGCTGGGGCCTGGACTCCTGGAGCCACCGCAGCTGCAGTGGACACTGCTCTCAGTGCCCGTTGGGCTCGGGGTGGGGCTGCTCCGTGGCCTGCTCCCTCCGCCACTGTGGTCCGGGACGTGCCCTGGACAACCACACGGCAGCTCCCAGGGACGCCCTGGAGCTGGGATTTTCTGTTTCCTCCTCTGGCTCAGGGCAGGGAGGCCAGGCAAGTTGCTCCCCTACCCCGGGTGTACTGCAGGCAAGGTCAACAAGGTCATGGGGTCAGCAGTCAAAGGGCACAAGTCACCCGTTGTGTGCCCGTGTGACCTTGGGAAGGGCGTATGACCTCTCTGGACCAACGATTGTTATTGCTTCCGTATTTTTAGCACTTGCTGTGCTGGGCACCGTCCGGGCCTCACACAGTGTGGGGTGCTTCCTGGTGGCCCCAGTTTCTGACCAGGACCCAGAAAGAGAACACAGAATTCACTCGAAGGGCCTTGGGGTGCTGTGCAGAGGGGCACCCCGTAACTGCAGGGGTGGAGAAGTGAGCGCCTCTCGGCTCTGTGGCGGCAGCTGGGGCTTTCGCCAGTCTGCTGGCGGTGAGAGTGTGGTGGGAAGAGATGGCAGTCAGGAAGGGTCATGCCACTCCTGCTGTGCGACACTGGGCCCGCCTGCAGCCCACTGCAGACTCGTCTTCTCCATAGACGCCTGCATGCAGACAGGTGCACTGGTGAGGTGTGGAACAATCTGGACTGGGAGAGAGGTTGCCTGGGCCCTGTTATGCAAGGGCTGAGGGTCCAATAATGGGGGACTGCAGCCAGACCCCAGCTGTCATGACTGTCAGCTGAAGCCTGCACCCCAGCCCAGACCCGGCCAGCTTCTGAGCCTTCTTGAAACACTAGGCCCAGGAGACCCTCACCAGCTGCTCCTTCTCATCAGAGAAGCACCTCTTCCAGGGAGCCCTCCCTGACCTCCAGGGCAGAGCACAGCAAGAGCCGCCCACAGCACCTGCTGTTCTCCAGCCATGCCAGGCCAGCCGCACACTCGCTGCACCTGTGGCTCCTCTGTGCCTCGCATTGCCCAGCGCTCCTCCATGGCAGGGGCATGTGCGGCCCCTCTCCCCTTCCACAGCAGCCGAGCTGTGTGGATGCTTCCTGGGGATCAGGCCTCTTCTCCATGCACTCCCTGGCTTCAGCTTCTCACGCGAGTCCATGCAGCAGGAGGGTCCACATGTGCAGACAAGAACACAGAGACTCGGACAAGCTATTGACCGCCCAATTCGCGAGATCGGAACCATGCCCCATGACATAATCCAGGTCGCCCCCAGATCACGGCTTCAGAAGCCGTCCCATGCACCTGGATCACCGGAACCTGTTAGAATCCATGGCCACCGCTGCAGGTGTGACATGGGGCCCGGGGCTCTGCCCTCCTGGCAGGCTCCCCCGTGATGCCGAGGCCCTCCCTTGCTGCCCTGTCTGCTGAGTCCAGGCTGGCGGGTGAGGGAAGTAGCCCTTGCTTTGCAGACATGGAACAAGGCCTGGGCGGTCCCATACCGGTGAAGTGCCTGGCACACAGTAGGCGCTCAATAGATGCTAGCTTTTCTCCCTCAATAGGAGCTGGTGTGACGCCCGGTACACAACAGAGGCTCGGGAAAGCCTGGCCCAATTGGGAGAGCCGAGCTTTCTTCCCCAGCACAGAGAACAAACCGCGTTATGTTCCTCTTCAGAAAGGAGCCAAACCCAATATTAATTTTTTCTTGAACCTCAGTGTTGCAAAGAGAAAGGAGAGCGAGTTGCACGCTTGTCTCTGCCATTTCTGCAGGGAGAACCAGGAGCGGAACAAAGCCCAAGTGAGCACCATGTCCTGGGAGGGAGCCCCCGACCCCGTGCCCAGGCCTCTGGTTCTCCCGCCTCCCTCTCCTGCGAGCCAGATCTGCTGCATGCCCAGCCTGGCCGGAGACAATGGCGGCCCTGAGACTGTGGCCCTGGCCTGTCAGCCCTGCCAAGGTCCACACCCCACACAGCCGCCTGCCCCCCGATGCAGTGGCACAGAGGGAGATGGTCCAGGGCGCCGTCCGCACGTCCCCGCCCCTGGCCTGTCCTCTAGCCCGGGGCTGGCCTCTGACAGCCCAGTCTCCAGGGAGGCCCGTGGGCCACAGCCCCAGAGCAGATCCTGGGAGCTGCCCTTCCCCCCTCTGCCCCCAGTCACAGCCGCATCATCTCTGCCTTGCCCCCTTGCCGTGTGCAGCCTCCCTGTCAGCTCAGCCCTGCTGCTTGAACCCTCCTCCCCCAGCCCTTGTGGAATAAAATCTGAACTCGCCGTGGCTCCCGAGGCCCTGCATTACCAGGTCCCTGCCCACAACCTCCAGCTGGCTCCATTCCCCCTCGTGCTGGCCTGCTGCCACCCTGGCCTCTCAGATGCACGGACCCAATCCTGCCCAGGGCCTTTGCCCCTCCTCTCCATGCTCCCAGAGATGCTGTATCCCAGATACAGCCCCAAATTCCAGCTGAATTTTTTTTCTTTCCAACCAAGAAAGCAAGCCCATGGGCCAGTTCTGACCCATTTTGCTGCTTCTGATCTAGGGCTCCGGTCTCCACATGTTTTCTTTCTCTTGCAAAGCACGGACTCCCTCAGGGACTGACAGAGGGACTTCTTCCTACTTCACTGGGCCCCTTTTGGCATGGGGATTGGTCCCAGTGCAGGATGGGTGTCGTCTGGGAGTGGGGGTGCACCTGCCTGCCTCCGTCTTTCTCCTGAGCTCCATCCTTCCCAGAGGCCCCTGATGGAGTCTCTTTCTGGAAGCTGGATCTGGTCACGTGATCACCCCTGCCACGCACCTGCAGCTGGGCCCTAAGTCCTCACCCCGGTGCAAAAGGCCCTTTTCTGCGTCGGCTCTCGCATTTGTCCCGACCTGGGTGCTTTTTCCATTTGCACAAACCTGACGAACACCTGTTCAACCTTCAAACCCCAGGGCGAGTGGCCCCTCACCTGGGCTCCTCCAAGCTGCCTCGTTCCTTCTCATCTTCAGAGCCTGTGCACCACAGTGCAGTGGATCAGCTACAGCAGAAGTGGTTCCCCAGATGATGACCTGGCCGGGGGAAGGCCCTCACCTCTCCACCTCTCGTGTCCTGTGCCGGCCCCGGCTCCATGCACAGAGCAGGCCCCCAGCAAGCACTAGCTGACTCACAGCCTGCCAGCACCTGGCGTGTGTCCCCCATGTCCTCGCTGTGTGATGAGCGAGTGGCAGAGGCCAGAGGACTGATCTCGCCTCCTAGGGTCGATTATGTGCGGTGCTTTGGAGGAATTCAGTTCATGGGGCCCACTCAATGACCAGAGGGCCATGTGGGCGGACTCTTGGCCTGCAGGATGTTGTCGCCTGATGAGATGGGGCCAAAAGCTGCTGGGAGGAGGCCACGCCTCTTCCTCCCACCTGCTCCACCAGCAGGTAAAGGAGAGTCTCAGGCCGGCGCTCCCCGTGCGTGGCCGCATCCTTGGATACTATCCCCAAAAGCCATGGGCCCTGGGCTGCATCTCAAGAAAGGCAGGAATGACTGGGATGGCGGGGCCCTGCCGCGAGCTTGCCCACACCTGCTTCCTGTGTGTCCTTTCCACCAGGGAGGGAGGGGCAGGGGAGACGCCCACGCCAGGAATTCGGGGTCCCAGGTGTGCGCCTGAGTGCCACTGCCTGGGAGCTCTCTGGGTTGGGCACCCAGTCCCTGGCTTGCCGGGTTTCTTGCATGGACGAGCTGGTTGGGGTGTTTTTCCCTGCTCTGCTTCGTTATAGAATCACTTTTCTGCGACTGACCAAGCATGCAGATGTGCCGCTCTCAGCCCCCGTCTGGCCCGGGGTGGCGGGCGAGGCCGCTGCAAGTTTGTAGAAAGAGGCCGGGCTCCCGTTCCCACTGGGCTTCTGAAGATGCTCAAAGGTGCCAAGGACCTGAATGGAACATGCTCCAAAAAAGACTGTCGCCGTAGTCATCGTCACTGCTGGGGCCCGGAGCCAGGGTGAGCGCTGTGGCTGCCTGTACAGGGGCTGCCTGACACCTGCTTGGCCTCAGCGCTTCTGATTCTCAGCACAGCCCCAGGTGGGAGCTGCTTGTATCTCCCCCACTTCACAGAGAGGTAAAGTCAGCCAGCCAGCACTCGTGGAGGGCAGACACAGCCAAGGGCCGTCTGACGCAGCATGGGACAAGTCCAGGACCCCACGGGAGCACCAGTTGCATCCTCAGCCTCTACTTCCTGTAGCTTCCCTGGGTGCGTTCCACGCCTTCTGCAAGGCTCGCTGCACTGGGGCGGTGGGACTCCTCACAGGGAAGCCGCAGGCCTGCACTGGACCTGGCTACGCGCTCCTGTGCTTGGGCCTTGCATGCCCAGGAAGTCCCTGTTCACTGTCTTCCTGGGAGGAGCACCTGCTGGGGGCGAGGCAGAGAGCTGTGGCGGCACCAGGAGCCCCCACGCCGGAGTAAGATGGGGAGGGGAGTTTGGGGCTGCAGAAGCCATGTGCCACGGACTGGCTTTCTGGTGACGGACAGATTTCCAGGCTCATGGTCATGGAGGCTGGGATGGCCAGGAAGGGGGGTGGTCCCCGTGTCTGACGGGGGTCTTCTTGCTGTGCCATAACGTGGCAGAGGTGGAAGGCATGGTGAGAGCAAGGGAGCAAGAATGACTGATAACCAGCCCACTCCCAAGATAACCAACCCACTCCTGAGATAACCAACCCACTCCAGAGATAACCAGCCCACTCCCGAGATAACCAATGCACTCCCAAGGTAACCAGCCCAGTCCTGATAACCAACTCACCCCCAGGATAACCAACCTACTCCAGAGATAACCAACCCACTCCCAAGATAACCAGCCCATTCCTGGAATAGCCAACCCAGCCCCTGGATAGCCAGCCCACTTCTGGGACAGCTAACCAAGCCCTGGGATAACCAATTCTGTCTCGAGGAAACATATCCAGTCTTTGAGGTAACCAGTCCACTCTGAGATAACCAACCCACTCCTGAGGGCAGAATTCTCATAGCCTGATCACCTCTCAACCCTGCTGCACCAGGAATTAAGCTTTCAGGGGCTGAACTGAACTTTGGGGGCCACTTACGGCTCAGGGAGCCCCCTGTCCACCTGCTGGCTCTGGGTGCTTCCTCCTCGCACACTGAGCCTGCTACCTTGGGACGAGATGGGCAGAGCAGGCTGCCTTGGAGTCCCCAAGTCGCTCCGAGATTCGCCCACTTCCTCAGTCCCAGGCCAGATTCCCCGGGAAGAAGTTTGATTGGCTAGCCTGGGCAGGTGATCAGCCATGGCCCGAGGTGATTGGATCATTCTGAACACATGAGAGCTGGAGCTGCCCCCCCCCCACCCCGCTGGATCGTGGAGTGTTAAGGACTTGGTAGCTGAACCCCCAAAGGGATGCACTTCAGCCTCTGCCCCTTTCCGGAGTCCGCTCCCCAGCCCCCCAGTGTCCCCCAGGATTCCCCGGTGGGCCATGGCGCCTTCCACTTCCTGCCGTGCTGGTGCTGGGCAGCGGCCTCTCACTCTGAGCTCTGAGCTCTGAGGCTCCTGCGCGCCCGCGTCGGCATCTGGACGGGCATCCAGGAGCCGCCTGTGGGCCGTGCAGGAGCTCAGACCCCTGGGTGCCGTCCTCGGGGCCGAAGAGCGGGACTGGAGTTCCAGGCTGGGCTGTGCGAAGGCGGTCCGGCTCCCCTGGAGCTCCGGGAGTGGACAGTGGTGTTTGGTAATAGGGGCTGCACGTGAGGGCGCTGCGGGCGCAGCAGCCTGGCGGAGGCCACGGGGAGGCGGGCGGCGCCGGGCCCGCCCTGCGCTTTGCTTTGGCTCAGTTCCTACCTCTGCGAAGCCCCAGGCCAGTGCAGCCCCCACTCCTGCCAGTTGGTGCTGAGGGCCCCCTAGGTCTGTTTTGCATTGCTGTATCCATGGAAAGCCCCTCTGCAGAAGTTAGGGAAATAGAAACCGACCACAAAGGAGGGCACGGAAGCCACTCAGGCTGACCCCTGACCCCAGCTGACCGCACGGGCTGCTGGGTTCTTCTTCTTGCTTTGGTTTTAAATGGGCAAATTTGCAGGGAGAGGGCCGACGCGGGGTCATTCAGAAGCAACTGTTCTGAAACCTGCTTTTCTCCACAAAGCAAGGTGCTCTTGCCTGCGTGCCCACGCCTTGGCTGCAGAGTGGAGAGAACGCAGCTGCGGTGGTGTTGGGCCCGGAGGCTGCAGCCCCACTCTGCTGGGTTCCTGTGTCTTCTGATAAAATCACGGAGCCTCCGCCTCTCAGCGCCCCCATGGCCCTCCCCTCCATGGCTGTCCCCGGGCCGCTGGCCCCTCCCCAGCATGTTCCCACACCTGAGCGCCAGCTCCACGCTGCAAGGACTCGCTGCCATCACCCTGGCTGGGGACACTCTGCCAGCCACGTGCACAGCCAGACACCAGCAGCTTCCTGCCGCCCTGTCACCCTCTATGCCCCAGCCCTGCCTGCCCGCTCGCCGGCCCCCTCCCCTGCCTTGCAGACTGTCACCCAGGAGCTGCGTCCAGAGCCCTGTGAGAACTGACCCATCGCAGACAATCATCAGGTGAGCTGTGGGGAGGAACGCACACCCACAGCTCCACAGAGGATCACCCCATTTCACAGATGGGGAAGTTGAGGCTCTGAGCCATCCGCAGAGCCCTTAGCTGAGTAAGTTGGGGCATGCAGCTGGCAAAAGGCAGCCTAAAGGCTCAAACTCAGGACTGCTCAGCGTGCAGTTTTACACACTGTCCCCTGGAAGTAAAGAGGCGGAAGGGTGCAGGCTGCCTGTGGCGAGTCTCAGGGTGGCCATGTCCAGCAGTGGTCGTCCACGTGTGGAGAGCCTGGGCTGGAGCTAGGGCCGGGCTGCCAGCCCCAGCCCCTGCAGGCGTTGGGGGAGTAGATGGGAGGGCTGTGTCTGCCTTTCAGCTAAACAGAGTGAAAAGTGCCGGCGCCGTGGCTCACTAGGCTAATCCTCCGCCTTGCGGCGCCGGCACACCGGGTTCTAGTTCCGGTCCGGGCACCGGATTCTGTCCCGGTTGCCCCTCTTCCAGGCCAGCTCTCTGCTGTGGCCAAGGAGTGCAGTGGAGGATGGCCCAAGTGCTTGGGCCCTGCACCCCATGGGAGACCAGAAGCACCTGGCTCCTGCCATTGGATCAGCGCGGTGCGCCGGCCACAGCACGCTGCCGCGGTGGCCATTGGAGGGTGAACCAACGGCAAAAGGAAGACCTTTCTCTCTGTCTCTCTCTCTCACTGTCCACTCTGCCTGTCAAAAAAAAAAAAAAAAAACACAGAGTGAAAAGCAAGAGCGGGCTGGGGGCCCCCAGCAGCGCAGTGAGGGGGTCCTGTTGTGTGAGATCGGGAGCAGTGGAGACGCTTGCTCAAAGACACACACAGCGCCCACGTGGTGAAGCAGACTTGGGGGAGGAGCTCGGGACCCCTGGGCTGCAGCACCACCCGTGGCCGGGACACCCCACCTTCAGCCACAGAAGGAGCCCCTTCGCTGCCGGCCCAGATGCTGATTATGGCCTTGATGAAGGGCAAATCCCCTATCGCATCATCAGAGGCAAAGAGAAGATCTTTCCTTACAGCCCTGGTGTTTGCCTTTGGAGGGTCGTGGTCCTGGGCTTGCTCCCTGGGGTGGGACACAGAGGCTGGAGCCCTGGAGCACGTCACCCCTTCTGCTTTGGGAGCCGAGGCCTCTCCGCTCCAGAGCAGGGGCAGTGGGAGCAAGAGGGCTTTCAGGAGCCCACCTGCCCCGGCCCCCAGACGGCTGCTCCACTTTTGTAATTTCAGGGTGAGGCCCCCGCAGCCCCCGCTCCTCTCTGTCCTAAACCCTGGCCCTGTCCTTCCAGGGTGACCTTGAGCTGCAAAGCTACTGTCCACGTGGACCGGGGCTGATGTCACACGCCCACTTGCCAGGACCCCTGTGTGCAAACCCAGAGACATGGCAGCCAACGGCAGCAAGGTGGCCAACGGGCAGATCGCCACGGAGGTCAGCGAGGCCCCTGTGGCCAACGACAAGCCCAAGACCCTGATGGTCAAGGTGCAGAAGAAGGGGGCAGAGCTTCCCGACAGGGACATGTGGAAGGGCCACTTCGACTTCCTCATGTCCTGTGTGGGCTATGCCATTGGCCTGGGCAATGTCTGGAGGTTCCCGTACCTGTGCAGGAAGAATGGAGGTGGTAGGTAGTGGCCTTGTGGATGGCCACTGGGCCGGACCTGGGCGTTTTCTGGGGTGCCGTAGCAAGATAGGGCCACTGGAGACCCCAGGGGATCCCCAGGCCCTGTACTTGCTCTTCATTTCTCTTTAGGGGTTCCCCTAGGACGATGCTTGTGTGTGAGCAGTACCCGGGGCGGGCATTTGGGTCAGGGTGAAGATGCCACTCAGGGTGCCCTGTGTCCCTGGGTTCAGCTTCCTCCTAAAGGGCACCGTGGGAGGCAGCAGGGACTCAGGTACGTGGGCCCTGGATGGAGTTCCCATCCTGAGCTTCAGCCTGGCCCAGCTCCGGCTGCAGTGGGCGTTTGACGGAGTAAACAGGTGGACGGTGGATGGAAGACCTCTCTCTTTTTCTTGTCTCTCTGCCTTTCAATTTTAAAAAGTTTATAAAAAAGTTAATCTGTACCCCAAAATTCATCTCCCCATTTGGCAGAGGACGGGCCTCCTCCTGGGTGCCCTGAGCCTCTCTTTGTTTGGCTGTGGGTGCTGATTTCCAGGCAGAGGGAGAGGAACCTCTGGAGGGATGCTTCCCCTGACCAGGGGGAGGGGCCCGGCATAAGCCTCACCTTCTCTGCCCCCAGGGGCCTCCCTCGTCCCCTACTTCCTGACGCTCATCTTCGCTGGAGTCCTGCTCTTCCTGCTGGAGTGCTCGCTGGGCCAGTATATGTCCATCGGGGGGCTGGGCATCTGGAAGCTGGCCCCCATGTTCAAGGGTGAGTGTGGCCATGCACCTGAAGCCAGCACCAGCCAGGGTGTTGGGTAGGGCAGGGAAGAGGAGGGACTCCCTGCACTCACTTCCTGGTGGGGCTTGGAGCCTGGCAGGCTCCCGGGACATGCGGGGTGTCAGGCGTCCTGGCCGTGGGCCCCACCCTGCCTGGCCCCAGACATGAGTCCTGGCTCCCTCGCCTGGGGGGCATGTGTGACCTTCTGCCGGTCACCACCTGACCCTTCGCCTCCATCCTGGTGGTTGGCTGAGTGGGCAGCGGCCATGTGGCTGACGCTGTATCCTGTCTGCAGGTGTGAGCCTGGCTGTGGCCGTGCTCTCCTTCTGGCTGAACATCACTACATCGTGATCATCTCATGGGCCATCTACTATCTGTACAACTCCTTCACCACGGTGAGCAGCCCCCTGAGCATTCTGGGAGCAGAGCGGGGTGGGGTTTCCCACAGCAGTCCTGGCCCCGAGCACCTTCTGTGGGTGCACACCTGCCCCCAACCACACCACGTCTAAGATGGGTATGGTTGTCCCATGGTGCACAGGTCTTGCTGGCCTGGGTTCAAATCCCAAGTCCACTCTCTGCCGTGCAGCCTCAGCTAAGAGACTTCACCTCTTGGGGCCTTCGTGGCCTCTTTCTGAAATGGGGACAACCTCAGCTCCCCAAGAGATTGACTCCAGGAGCCCCCTGTGACCCAGCTGTCCCCTCTCTGGGTCAGCACCCCAGGAAGAAAGCAGGGTCTCTAAGAGGGGCTGGCACACATGTGTGCACAGCAGCTCTACACAGTAGCCGAGGCCCGGGAGAGGATGGCGGGCTGAGGTCTCAAGCCAGGGCCTGTGAGCCCAGTGGACATGAGCGTTTGAGGCAGGCAAGGCCACCACATGGTGGACAAAGTGCAGGCGAAACAAGCTGGTCCCAGAAGGAGGGACTTCTCTGGTTCCCCACCGCTAGTCAAGTTAGTCAAGTTCACGGAGGCAGAGAGCAGAGTGGAGTCACAGGGACTCCAGGAAGGGAGTGTAGGGTTAGTGTTTAGTGGGCGCGGGGTCCCAGTTCTGTAGGCTGGAAGGCAGCTGGAGCTGGCTGGGATGATGGCTGGGTGGCTGCAGGATGCACTGAGCGCCCCCACGCTGCACACTCAGCAGTCTGGCTCAGCACTTAGGACACGACCGCAGTGCCCGGGCCCTTGTGGGAGTGCTGAGGTTTGAATCCCAGCCCTGCACCAAATTCCACCTTCCTGCTCACGTGCACCCCGAAGGCAGCGAGTGATGGCTCAAGGAGTTGGGTCCCTGCCACCCACGTGGGAGACTCAGATTGAGGTCTGGGCTCCCGGTTTTGACCTGACCCAGCTCCAGCTGTTGCAGTCATTTGGGGAATGAACCAGCAGATAGGCAATCTCTTCTCTGTTCCCTCTCTCTCTCTTTCTCTCTCTCTGCCTTTCAAATGAATAAAATAAATCTTAATAATAAAAAAAAACCTGGAAGGAGACAAAATGTGAAACCAGCCTTCTGGGGTTCTCAGGATCTCACAATGCTGAGAACCAGGCCTGGTAGAGAAGACGCTGGGGCTGGCCATGCTGGCCGTGCCCCAGAAGGCAGTGGGCGAGGCCCCATGGCCAGGGTGGCAGAGCTGGAGAGTGGTCCCAGGGAGGGCACAGGAGGCCCAGGGATGTAGTTTGGAGGGCTGGGCCCTGGGGTGAGCAGGGCATGCTCTTGTAGCCACTGTGTGGCCTGGAGCAAGATGCTGCCCCATTGTGATCACGGCGCCACCTGCCCTCCCAAGCCATTGGCAACGAGAGGCAGGACCGTGGCTTCCAGGAGGTTTGGGGTACACTGAGGATGGCCAGGGAGAGCTGGGCCATGTGCCAGCCCCTGGGGCCCCAGTGGGGTTTGGTCACACGACCGTGTCCTTGCAGACACTGCTGGAAACAGTGTGATAACCCCTGGAATACCGACCGCTGCTTCTCCAACTACAGTATCGTCAACACCACCACCATGACCAGCACCATGGTGGAGTTCTGGGAGTGAGTGTGGGTGGCATGGGGCACTGGGGTGGGCGGGGCCTGCAGGGGACAGGGCAGCCCCTCCTAACTGGGCGGGGAGACTGTGTGTAGCAGCATGGGTAACATCTCCCCTTTCCAGAAGAGAGCTGGAGGGAGAATGAGGCACCTGACGCCAGCCATGGCTGCAGGTAGAGGAGCCCAGCTGGAGACACAGTTGCGTAGCAGCCAGGGACACTTAGTCCCTGGCATCCTACTCTCTGAGCCTCTCGCTCCCTGCCAGCACTGCCCAGTGGCCTATACAGAGCTAGCCAGAGGCCGAAGGACCGGAGAGGTTGCCGGAGCAGTCACCTCCTGGGGCGCAGTGCAGGGTGGAGAAGGTGGCGGGTGGGTGGAGGGGGGTTCAGGGCAGGGAGGAGCCAGCACAGCTGAGCAGGGCTCCCAGAGAGGCCAGTGAGGACCCGTCTTGAGAACCAGCCCAGGCCCAGTTGGCCCCTGCATCCTAGGTTCACAGGTAGTCCAGCCTATAGTGGACCCAAAATAGTTGAGAAAAAATTGCGCCTGTGCCAAACGTGCACGGGCTTTCTTCTTGTTTTTTGGGGAGCAGTGCAGTGTCGCAGCTTTTCCATGGTGTGGACACGGAGCTAGGCCCAGACACTGTGCAGAGATGACTCCATGCTCACGGGAGGCCGTGTGCAGCCTCTGTGCACACAGGCGCCGTTTTCTGGTGGGAGCTTGAGCACTTGCAGAGTTTTTATCTGCAAAAGGTCCTAGAACCAGTCTCCTGCAGATACTGGGGCAGCACTGTACTTATAAACCCCAGGTTGCCTGGAGCGAGCACATGTGCACACATACCCATGCACACACAGGTGCAGACACATACATGTGTGTTCACATTCATGCATGAACACACATATACACACGCATGCAGACACATGCACATGTAAATACATTAACACACATTCACAAGACACCCATCTGCACACCAACACACACGTACACACATGAACATACATGTTCACACATGACATGGACATGCACTGGCACACCTGCCTACACACAGGTTCAGCTCATGTGCAGGCACACACAGAGACATACATTCTGGCTCCAGGAAGGCCACGCTGATTCTGTTTCCCAGGGGGGCACTTCACAGATGTGTGTTGGGGGCGTACAACAGATGAGGTCTTGGGGTCCAAGTCTCTGTGGCGTGGAGAGATCCCCTGTGCTGGGCGGCTTGTGGGAGGCAGTGCACCGAGGCATGGAGGAGGTGAGAGCAGGCCAGGGACAGGTGAATGGGTGACAGAGCCCTGAGACTACAGATGCGGAGCTGGCTCATGAGGCCAGCCAGGGAGTGCAGCCTCATTCTGCAAAGGAGCGGGAGCTGTCTGTAGCAGGATCACGCAGGGCACCTGCACCCAGAGGGCTCCTGGGCTGGCACAGGGCAGAGCAGAGGTGGGAGCTGTCCATGGCAGGACTGTACAGGGCACCTGCACCCAGAGGGCTCCTGGGCTGGCACAGGACAGAACAGAGGTGGGAGCTGTCCGTGGCAGGACAGCACAGGGCACCTGCACCCAGAGGGCTCCTGGGCTGGCACAGGACAGAACAGAGGTGGGAGCTGTCCGTGGCAGGACAGCACAGGGCACCTGCACCCAGAGGGCTCCTGGGCTGGCACAGGACAGAACAGAGGTGGGAGCTGTCCATGGCAGGACCACGCAGGGCACCTGCACCCAGAGAGCTCCTGGGCTGGCACAGGGCAGAGCAGAGGTGGGAGCTGTCTGTAGCAGGATCACGCAGGGCACCTGCACCCAGAGAGCTCCTGGGCTGGCACAGGGCAGAGCAGAGGTGGGAGCTGTCCATGGCAGGACCACGCAGGGCACCTGCACCCAGAGGGCTCCTGGGCTGGCACAGGGCAGAGCAGAGGTGGGAGCTGCCCATGGCAGGACCACGCAGGGCACCTGCACCCAGAGGGCTCCTGGGCTGGCGCAGGGCAGAGCAGAGGTGGGAGCTGTCTGTAGCAGGATCACACAGGGCACCTGCACCCAGAGGGCCCCTGGGCTGGCGCAAGGCAGAGCAGAGGTGGGGCAGCCGCTGAGCAGCGACAGAGGCAGCTGCAGCCCCTGCTCTCCTTGAGTCGTTGCTCCTGGTTCTGACATGATCCCTGAGGTAGACCACATCCCTGCCCATGCCCCAGGCCCCCTCAAGTCCCAGCGGCCCTTGTGACATTCTCCTCCCTCCTCTTAGAGCAGGCACAACATGCATCAGATGACTGATGGGCTGGACAAGCCGGGCCAGAGCGCTGGCTGCTGGCCATCACCCTGGCCATCGCCTGGGTCCTGGTGTATTACTGCATCTGGAAAGGTGTGGGCTGGACCGGAAAGGTAAGGGCCTGGGGCTGCCAAGGGAGCTCTGCTCAGGCAAGGGGTCCACAGCTCCTGGGGCCCCTCCCAACCCTTCAGCTCTGGGTACCTCGACTCTCATGCACAGTGGGCATTAGGGCACCGCCTACTGTCTAGAGCAGCAGAGAGCACGTAGGAGCTGACACAGGTTGGGCTCGCAGCTCAGCTCACAGCAGGTCCCTGGCATTCTGCAGCCCCAGGCAGGTGCCAGTCACGGGCCGCTCAGCCAACTTGCCCCAGGAACAGGGCTTCGGTTCCGGGCGCAGGGACTCCTGCGATGAGGAACACAGGCGGGCAGGTTGTGACAAAGTCCTCAGGCCCTGTTTGCAAATAGGTCTGAGTTCAGATCCCAGTGAGGCTGATTCCTGGCTGAGTGACCTGAAGGAAGCCATTTCTCTTTGAAGCTCCGCTTCCCCCTCTGCAGGATGGGGCTGGTGCTTACACACATCCTTTACTGTTCATTTTTTTTCTTAAGATTTATTTATTTGACAGAAAGAGGGACATGGAGACAGGCAGAGGGGAGAGAGAGAAAAAAAAGAGACAGAAAGAGGTCTTCTATCTGCCAGTTCGCTCCCCAGTGGCCACAGTGGTCCAGACTGGGCCAAACCAAAGTCGGGAGCCGAGAACTCCGTCCCAGGTTCCCACATTAGTGCAGGGGCCCAAAGACTTGGGCCATGACCTGCTGCTTTCCCAGGCGCTTTGGCAGGGAGCTGGCTAAGAACTGGAGCAGCCAGCACTCCCACTGGTACCCACACGGGATGCCGCTATCTGGCTTAACATTCTGCACCACAATGTTGGACCCTGTTGAGTTTGTTTTAAAGATTTATTTATTTATTTATTTATTTACTTACTTACTTACTTACTTGACAGGCAGAGCAACAGAGACAGAGAGATCTTCCATCTGCAGGTTCACTCCCCAAATGGCCACAAAGACTGAGGCTAGACCAGGCCAAAATCCAGAGCCAGGAACTCCATCTGGGTCTCCCGTGTACCTGGGCCATCATCCGCTGCCTTCCCAGGTGCACGAGCAGGGAGCTGGATTGGAAGCAGAGCAGTCAGGACAGCAGCTGGCATTGTCACAAACAATGGCCCCACCATGCCAGCCCCGCCATTGGTGATTCTAGAAAGCTCTCAGCACTTAGCAAGGGGCTGTTGCTCTTTCGTCTTTATGATCAGGTCAGCAAGGACAGAGTGACTGCAAGCCGGATGTCCCGCACAGGGACATCTGGCAGGACAGAACTGGCCTTGGCTCCCTCCCCTCCCCACCTCTCAGGCCTTACACTGGAGGCTGAGGCTCAAGATACCTGCGTTTCCTGCAGGAAGCAGAGGGGCAGGTGTGCTGTCTGAGGTCTCCAAGTCTCGAAGGGAGCAAAGGGACAGCAGAGAGACTGGAACAGAAGGTGGCTAGGGACAGGTGAGGCGGGACCAGAACATGCCAAAAAGCTGGCGGAACTTTCCAGAAGAAGGTGCAGAAAGAGACAAAACAGAGCCTTACAAAGCCTCAACGTGGGCCTGAGGCAGGTGCTGAAAACCTGCCCTGGAGGGAACCGGAGACCCAGACCCAAGGCTCGTTCTCACGTCTCAGACCCGTGCATGGGACGAGGGAGAGCTGGGCAGGGCCTGGTGTCTCCCGTTCCAGCTTCAGGGAGCAGGAAAGCAAAGCTTGAAGGGCGGTAAAGCCACTGGGAGCCGCTGTCTCCCAGGTGCAGCTATGTGCACTGCTGAGTGGTCCCTGTGCCAGCACCTTGTGGGCTCATCACAGCTCTCCTGTCCTAGCAGCTGGGCTAATTGCACCCATTTTCCAGATGAGAGAAACTGGGGCTCGGAGCACTGAGACACTGACCCAGTGGCTTCGTTTTCATGCCCTCTTCCCAATTCCAGGGACAATGGTTTGTGCAGACGGCAGGCGGCTTCCCTGGTCCTGAGGAAGCCCAGAGTGCAGTGAGGGAGAGCAAGCTTCCCCAAGGGAGACCCACACTGGCCGGGAGCCAGGGGCCCCTGAGCCCTGAGATTGAGTCTGAAACCGCTCTTCCACACCAGCGAGCAGAGAAACTATTGCAGGCTTTTGATGACCAATTTGGCAAAAACGGGTTTTGAAAATGATTATGCTCAGAGTTGGCACTGCAAGGGAGCCACCCTGTGCCACGCTGGAGGAAGTGCCATTTCCTTTCTTTAAAATGAAAAAATTGAGGGGCTGGCGCCGTGGCTCCCGTGGTTAATCCTCCACCTGCAGCACCGGCATCCCATAGGGGTGCTGGTTCTAGTCCTGGCTGCTCCTCTTCCAGTCCAGCTCTCTGCTGTGGCCCAAGAGGCCAGTGGAGGATGGCCCAGGTGCTTGGGCCCCTGCACCCACATGGGAGACCAGGAGAAAGCACTTGGCTCCTGGCTTCAGATTGGCGCCGTGCCGGCTGTAGTGACCATTTGGGAGATGAACCAACGGAAGGAAGACCTTTCTCTCTCTCTCTCTTACTGTATATAACTCTTATCTGTAAAAAATGATTCAAAAAAATGAAAAAAAAATGAAAGGCAGAATTACAGAGAGGAGGGCGAGAGAGATTGAGAGAGAGGGAGAGGGAGAGAGAGAAAGAGAGAGGTGTCTTCCAGCCGCTGGTTCACTCCCCAAATGGCTGCAACGGCCAGGGCTGGGGCAGGCAGAAGCCAGGAGTCTGGATCTCCATCTGAGTCTCCCATATGGGTGGCACTGGGGCCAGCTCCTGCTGCTTTCTCGAACACATTGGCAGGGAGCTGGACCAGAAGTGGAGCAGTGTGGTATGCCAGTGTCACCCCCGTCTGTGTAACCACTGCACCACAACAGCACCGCCACTCTGAAGTTCTGATTCTAGAGGGAATCGGGCAATGCTCAGATGCGTCAAAAGCCTTTGAGAAGCCGTCGCTTTCTGCTTGGTGATTCCACATCTAGACGTCTCTCCCAGGAGCGATACAGTCATTCTGTAGATAAAGGTTTATAAACAGGAGTGTTCAATGAGGCATGGAAGATTGGAAGTCACCCAAATGGCTAACAGCGGAGGCTGCTGGGAGAGGGTGGCGGGACCTCCCTGGGGACCGTTTGTAGAATTAAAACTCACTGTTCAGGTGGCAGACGGTCTTCAGAGAATAGACTGAGTGTGCTGTCTTTTACCTTGAAAGCTGCTCACTGAGAAAGCAAGTGGCTGACTGTAGCCTGCTTTTCTGAGACATGATCATCTGTGCAGAAGAAGGTGTCAAAGAAGGAACAGTAAAATGCTCACAGCCCTGTGGTTGTATATTTTTCAGACATTTATTGAGTGTCTACTGTATACAATGGACTGTTCTAGACATCAGAAAGCAGATGTGAGAGACCCAAACCTGTGCCTTGTGGGACGCTGATCCTAGGGGCCACTGTGTATGTGTGTTTGTGCACATGGGTGTGTACCTATGTAACTTTCAACGTTTCCTGCCAACAGGCATTGCTTGGATAAATTAGACATCCATTAAAAATCACAGGGAATGGGGAAGGTAAAATGAGGTGCTGAGCTGGTTGGTTCAGACTCCACGGGCAGCCAAGCAGAGCAGGCTTCCTGGAGGAAGAAGCACTGGCAGCACAGGCAGGTGCAAGGGGCGGGGCTGTGGGTGGACTGACGTGCCCCTCCCTGTCCTTGCCAGGTGGTCTACTTCTCAGCCACTACCCCTACACCATGCTCGTCATCCTGTTCTTCCGTGGAGTCACACTGCCTGGCGCAAGGAGGGCATCGTGTTCTACGTCATGCCCAACTTCCGTAGTGAGCAGCCTGGGGTGTGACGGGGGCAGCCGACTGGTACGGGCAGGGGCCTTGGTGTCTGTGGCTGTGATTGCCACTAGACACTTCTGCCCATAGGTGTGGCTGGATGCAGCTACGCAGATCCTCTTCTCCTATAGGCTGGGCCTGGGCTTCCTGATCGCCATGGGCAGCTACAACTTGTTCCACAACAACGTGTACAGGTGCCAGTGGCAGCCCAGAGCCCCCTCCTTCCCGGCCCTACCCTCCTTGGCTTGCTCCTGGGTCCCTGTCATTGCCCTCCCTGGCCCCACCCCCATGACCTCTACCCTCCCTGACCCCGCCCCGCCTCCCTCCAGGGACTCCATCATCATCTGCTGCATCAACTCCTGCACCAGCATGTTTGCCAGCTTTGTCATCTTCTCCATTGTGTGTCGCTCCCCCTCTTTGTGGAGGAACGACACAGGACCCCGCGCTGTTCTTTCGTCTGCTCGGTCCTTCCCGGGTTTGCTGCTGGTCCTTCCCGGGTTGGCTGCCGTCCCTCCACCTCCGTGGAAGGGCGGCTCCCCCTGCCACTTTCCCCACTTCCGTGGGGGAGCGGCACACCGCCGGCCGGCTCTCTCGGAGGCTGCTCAGATGTTACCCGGATGTTCCCCTTAGATGTTCCTGGTGCATGTTGTCTCTCTCCTCCTTTATAGTCCTCTTCCACCAATCCCAACTCTGCTACCCACACGCCGAGTACGCTGCTCTCCTGCAATCAGGAGCAGGATCAGCTCCTGCAGGTTATTGGTCGAACTGGAGGCAGCTGCGTAAAAGTTGTTTACTCCTCTCCCAGCGCCATATTGTGGGAAAGCACATGCATAGAATAAGTCTTAATTCCAGTAACTTAGTCTAGTCCAAGTTGCTCCCCACAATTGTGGGCTTCATGCCCACGTCAAAAAGTCCATTACTGATGTGGCGGCCTCAGGTCAGCGCTGCCCACCTCGGGGCCAGGGGTTGGGAGTGGGGCTTGCCTTGTCCTCACCCTATGGGTGGCAGAGCACTCACTGCCTGCCAGACACTGCCCCCTGATCTTCCCAGCTCTCTGCAGTAGGTGCTATGTCCCCATGTCACAGATGGGGAAACTGAGGCTCGCCAAAGCCGCCTGCCCAAGCTCAGAGCTCAAAAGGGGTTTGTGCCCAGATCAGTTTGACTGTAAAACCTCTTTGTCTCCCAGCCACACTGATGCTTCCTGCATGGCCCTGGATTTTGTAGGGGAAAAGACCCGCTCCTGTGCCCGGGCCTTTAAGGCTTGATCTAACCACGCCATGTTTCCAGCCATGATGCAAACTCCCTTTGTTAGGGTCTGAAAAAGCCCACTGCCCGAGGAACAACTCCAAGAGACTTTTTCTCTCATGCAACCAGCAAAGGGTTAAATTTATTGATCCAACATGTTGGGGCCCTCTGACAAGGACAGAGGAGCAGTGAGGAACTACAGCATAGGGTTTATAAAGGCAAAAACCGCAAAATCGGGAAGGGGGAGAGAATACACGGTTGCTAAGCGGTTGCTAAAATCTTACAATCAGCAATTATGATCTTAAGACACAGACAAATCACATCTTCATTATTAGCCCAGGTAACGCAGGTGCAACCTTTCTACTTTTAAGCTTGAGCAATCATGCTAGGGGGTTTTTGTGTGTTGCCAAGGGTGATGTAGTGCACTGCTATTGTCTGACTATTTGAGATCATAGTTTCAGACTAGAGTCTCACGGTGGGGGGTGCTTTCCCAGAATGGAGTCTCAAGTGCTCCAAAATGGAGCCCCTACTGTCAAGGTGCTACTTCACTCTGTTTTATTTTTACAGCTGCACCAGGAAGTTTTAAACCTGTAAGCTTAAGCTTAACTTTTTACACCCGCACATATACAATTTTAACTCTTCACCTTGAGTCTGCTTTTATCCTGGCTCCCAGAACAGTCTCTCCAGGTGGGTTGTGCACACTTAGCTTGCCTCAGTCTCAGTGCCCCAGGGCCCAGGGCAACCACAGGCAGCCTCCCCCATCCCCAGGGGCGGGGCCAGCAGCAGGCAGGAGGTCCACTGTGTGCACAAAGGTTTCCCTGAGCTCTCTGGAGGGGACAGAGCTTGATCCCCGGAGCACTGGGTGGGGCCTGGGGAAAGGACGTTGAGCTCCTGGACAATGGCAGCTCCTCCCCCTCTGGGCCTCCCCTGGCCCCTACAGAGCCACACCCAGGCAGCTCCGATGTCTTTGTTTCTCATTCTTTGTTTCCCCTGCTCCTGGACACCCCTGCCAGACACTCAAACACCACCTGTCCTGGACACACCTCCCATGCCTTCCCCCAGCCTGTGGTCCCCCTCATGAGAAGGGTTCCCAACCAGTTTCCAGGCCAGAAACCTCAGCAAGCATTGCCCTGTGCTCTCCCCTCACCCCAGCCTGAAGCCTTTGGCCTCCCAAGTGTCCCCGCAGGGGCCGCCTCTCTGCATGTGCCCCGCCCCTGCTGATGGCCAGCCCGCTGCAGTCCCCCACCTGGACAGTGAGCCCCTCACCTGCAGCCTGCACCATGGCCTGGCTGCCCAGCGGTGACTCTGACGTGAGGCTTAGGGACTGGTGGCTGTGCTGGGGCTGGTGCGGGTACCCACCACGCTGCCCCTCGTTCTCACAGGCCCGGGGCTGGCATTCCTGGCGTACCTGGAGGTGGTGACCCAGCTGCCCATCTCTCCGCTCTGGGCCATCCTCTTCTCCATGCTACTGATGCTGGTCATCGACAGCCAGGAGACCACCCCTCTCCCAGGCCCCTCCCCCCCCAGAGGAGGACTCAGAATCTCAGACCCCTAGAATATCCCTGAAGCAGCCCTGTGAACTGGCCAAGTCCAGCAGGGGAAATGGAAACCCAGAGGGAGGGGACTCCGCTGAGGCCCCCAGGGTAGCAGGGGCAGCGTCATGCTGGACCCTGGGCCACCCCCCCAGCCCTGCCGTCTGGGTGCTGCTCAGGCTGTGGCTGGTGGGTGGGGCCGCGGTGGGCGGGCGGCTGACCCCGCCCCCCTGCAGTTCTGCACCGTGGAGGGCTTCATCACGGCCCTGGTGGACGAGTACCCCAGACTGCTGCACAGTTGCCGGGAGCTCTTCACGTCGCCGTCTGCACCGTCTCCTACCTGAGCAGCCTCTCCAACATCACCCAGGTGGGCTCCCGCTGCTGCCCTGGGGCCCTTTCAACACCCCCTCTGCCTCCACAGAGCTCTCTGCTGAGCCCCGGACACACGGCACTGAGGCAGACGGCGTCCTGCCTTCCGGGGGCTCCCTGGCTGTCAGAGACGCAGATGCTGAGAAGGACAGCGTAGGACAGAGCCAGAGACCGCAGCAGGCAGCCTGGCCTCTGCTTCCCGGCAGCCCCCCTGGAGTCGGGCCTTCGAAGTGAACACTGCCACTTGTTGCATCCGTGAACATGTGTCTGTGAACTGTACACTCACCGTGAACGACTCTCACGACCCACACGGCCACCCGTGGGCCCAGGAGCCACTGTGATCTCGGGTTCCCTCACTCGCACTTGGGAACACCGGCTGTGGGCCACATGTGTGACACTGGGAACCCAGCAACAGTGTGAGAGCCACTGCCAAGTCTACTCTCTTGGAGCTTGAGTTTCAGTGGGGACGGGGCTGACAGATGAGGTGCCTGCAAAGTGCCAGGTGCAGTGGAGCAGAGTGGATACAGCAGGACGGGAAATGGCCAGCAGGGGGCCGGGAGGCCTCTACCTGGCACAGGGGATGGTGGGGGAGGTCTCTAAGGAAGTGACAGGTGAGCAGGTGAGCGGAGACCTAGATGAGGAGGGACAGCCAGGGAGGGGAGGAGAGCATGGCAGGTGCAAAGGCCCTGAGGGTGAGGAACAGAAAGGAAGCCAGTGTGGCAGGGAGTGGAGCAGAGCCTTGCAGGCCAGGCCATTTGAGTTAGACTTGATTTGACGTCTCCCTGCTTAGTTATGTACCATGTTATTACATGTGTGCTGGGAGGTTCTCAGCAGGGGAGAGGTAGGACCGAGTCATGCATGGACAGACGGCGCTGGGGAACGGCCCCCAGGCCTGGCCTGCTCACGAGGCCCAGGCAGTCTATTATGAGCCCGGCTTCCCCAGCGGTGCTGGGTGCCAGGGGGCCCAGATGTGGGGGGGGCGCTCTCATGCTCCCTTCCTCTCACAAGGGGGCATTTACGTCTTCAAACTCTTCAATTACTACTCCACCAGCAGCATGAGCTTGCTGTTCCTTGTGTTCTTCGTGGGTTTTTTTTTTTTTGACAGGCAGAGTGGACAGTGAGAGAGAGAGACAGAGAGAAAGGTCTTCCTTTGCCGTTGGTTCACCCTCCAATGGCCGCCACCACCGGCGCGCTGTGCTGATCCAAAGGCAGGAGCCAGGTGCTTTTTCTGGTCTCCCATGGGGTGCAGGGCCCAAGCACTTGGGCCATCCTCCACTGCACTCCTTGGCCACAGCAGAGAGCTGGCCTGGAAGAGGGGCAACCGGGACAGAATCCGGCGCCCCGACCGGGTCTAGAACCCAGTGTTCCGGCGCTGCAAGGCGGAGGATTAGCCTAGTGAGCCGCGGCGCCGGCCCCTCATGTTCTTTGAATGTGTCTCCATCTCCTGGTTCCACAGTGAGCCTCCACCCCTGCTCCTTTATTCATTCATTCATTCACTCATTCGTCATTCAGCAGAAGCAGCTGGGACAGCAGGCCCTCTCCCTGCACTGTTCAATCCCTGTGCTCACACAGCTCAGCGTGGTGGGTGCACCAGTTCCGTGTGCAGAAGACAGAGCAACAGTTAGGGTGTGGGCATGCGACAGAGAGGCTAAGGGGCTGCGTGGACACCCGTACGTATTAGGGTTCAAGACTGGGCTCCATGTCCAGTTCTAGCTTCCTGCCAACGTGCACCCCGGGGAGACAGCTGGTAATGGTGCAGGGCTTGGGTCCCTGCTGCCCATGGCGGGGGGGGGGGACCTCTGCTGAGTTCCAGGTTCCTGGCTGAGGTCGCACCTTGCCCCCACTGCTATGCACAGGGAAGACTCCTGTCCATCACTCTGTGTCTTTAAAATACATACGACTCCACGGAGAACAGATAAATACTTCATGTAAGCAGGGAGCCAACTAGTGTCCGTTGTGGGATAAAAAGTCTTGTTTCACGTCGGATCTGTAAAACGGGAGACGGAAGTATAGAGCTGACATCATCCGCCTGACAAAAGCTGCCATGATGGAAAGCCTACATCGTCCCTGGGGGGAAAAAACGAAGGAACCAGGGTTTCCTTTCCGTCGTGCCCCAAATCTCCGGAGCCCAGGGCCCAAGGGTCCGAGGCCGCCCCTCCTGCCTCTCTGCTGGACCAGAGAGCCCAGAGCGTGGACGGAGATGGGCAGCGCCACATCCCCCAGCGCTCGCCCGGTCTTGCTTCCACCCCGACCCGACCCAGACCACCAGCCTCCGGGACTTCGCATGCGCAGTGCTCCCTTGGAGAACTTACTCTCGCGAGGCCTAGGGTTCTCGTAGTCATGCGCAGATCTCCGCGGTGGGCTGCACTTCCGGCCCGCCCAGCCATACCTCGGAGGAGAGGCGGGGCCTGTGGGAGGGGACCGCGACCCCTGACCTTCCGTGGCCAGTGAATGTCTCCACCTGCAGGGGGCTGGCTTTTCTCCCTGGCGCGCGTGCTATGGGCTTTGACGGTTCGAAGGGTGCTGGGGGCGGCGGCCTGCAGACCCCACAGCTCAGCGGTGCACCCCGCGCTTGCGCCTGTGTCGCAGGTGTGAACCGTTTCTACGACAACATCCAGGAGGTGGTGGGCTCCAGGCCCTGCATCTGGTGGAAGCTGTGCTGGTCCTTCTTCAACCCCATCATCATAGCGGTGAGGCTGGGGCTGCAACGCCTGCAGGGTTGGGGCGGCTCCGCCCCGGGAGAAACTTCTGGAAGCGAGGGCGGGCGGGGGAGGCCCTCAGGGCCCAGGTCCAGTTCACCCAGCCCCTGCTGTGCCGCCCACAAGGGCTGAGCTGTCCAAAGCGCCCGGCAGGCTCCGGGAGGTGGAGGCCAGGCTGCTGACGTGGGCCCTGGTCCTGCTGGCCAGGGTGGGTTACCCCGGGGGAGGGGTGCCTGCAGGCTGGAGGAGCCTTTTCTCCGAGGCCCTCGTGGGGGGCCACAGGTGCTGAACCCCGGGAAGGGTCAGCCCAGGCAGTGGGGCCTTGGTGGCCGGCCTGGGAGGCTGACAGCGCCGCCCCTCCCCCTCCGCAGGGCGTGTTCCTCTTCACCCCTCTCACCATGGGCAGCTACGTGTTCCCCAAATGGGGCCAGGGAGTGGGCTCGCTCATGGCTCTGTCTTCCATGGTCCTCATCCCCGGCTACATGGCCTACACGTTCCTCACCCTGAAGGGCTCCCTGAAGCAGGCAAGGCCTAAGCACGCTCGGCCCCGCGGCTGGGCGCAGCTCCACTCCAGCTGCGAGACTGACAGCTTCAGAGCCGATGGCACGACAGGGTTCGAGGCACCGTGATGGGGGCGAGCCAGGGTCAGGCTCCTGTCTCTGTGGAGCTTGGAGGAGGCGGTAGCTCAGAGGAGGCCTCTGGGGAAAGCCGGAGTTCAAACTAGATGCAGAAAGGAGGTTTCTGGGGGTGAGCGGGGGATGTGCAAAGGTCCCGGGGTAGCAAATGCCTTTGGTGAGCAGGAGGGAGGTCAGGGTGGAAGGGCTCAGGGTTTGTGATAAGAAATGGGGCAGGGGTGGGAAGTGGTCTGGCAAGGTGGTGAAAGAGGTTTTTTAGGCCAGAACAGGCACTGGGGACTTAGCCTGAGAGCAGTGGGGTTTGCAGCCCATAGGAGTGACACTAGAGTAGCAGAGTCACTTCACTGTATCTCACCTATGGACTTGGTATAACCAAATGTGGTATTCTCCTCAAAGAAAGATATAGGGACCCCACTGTAAGGGGCCCCATGTCATACACTGCACACCCGCAAGGCCCCACCATCAAACAATAACACAACTCCCCAGGACCGCCACCATCAAACAATAACACAACTCCCCAGGACCCCACCATCAAACAATAACACAACTCCCCAGGACCACCACCATCAAACAATAACACAACTCCCCAGGACCGCCACCATCAAACAATAACACAACTCCCCAGGACCGCCACCATCAAACAATAACACAACTCCCCAGGACTGCCACCATCAAACAATAACACAGCTCCCCAGGACAGCCACCATCAAACAATAACACAACTCCCCAGGGCTGCCACCATCATACACTGACACTCCCCCAGGGCCCCACATCATACACTGACACTCCCCCAGGGCCCCACATCATACACTGACACTCCCCCAGGGCCCCACATCATACACTGACACTCCCCCAGGGCCCCACATCGTACACTGACACTCCCCCAGGGCCCCACATCATACACTCACACTCCCCCAGGGCCCCACATCGTACACTGACACTCCCCCAGGGCCCCACATCATACACTGACTCTCCCCCAGGGCCCCACATCATACACTGACACTCCCCCAGGGCCCCACATCATACACTGACACTCCCCCAGGGCCCCACATCATACACTGACTCTCCCCCAGGGCCCCACATCATACACTGACACTCCCCCAGGGCCCCATATCATACACTGACACTCCCCCAGGGCCCCACATCATACACTGACACTCCCCCAGGGCCCCACATCATGCACTGACACTCCCCCAGGGCCCCACATCATACACTGACACTCCCCCAGGGCCCCACATCATACACTGACTCTCCCCCAGGGCCCCACATCATACACTGACACTCCCCCAGGGCCCCACATCATGCACTGACACTCCCCCAGGGCCCCACATCATACACTGACACTCCCCCAGGGCCCCACATCATACACTGACACTCCCCCAGGGCCCCACATCATACACTGACACTCCCCCAGGGCCCCACATCGTACACTGACACTCCCCCCAGGGCCCCACATCATGCACTGACACTCCCCCAGGGCCCCACATCATACACTGACACTCCCCCAGGGCCCCACATCGTACACTGACACTCCCCCAGGGCCCCACATCATACACTGACACTCCCCCAGGGCCCCACATCGTACACTGACACTCCCCCAGGGCCCCACATCGTACACTGACACTCCCCCAGGGCCCCACCATCATACACTGACACTCCCCCAGGTCCCCACATCGTACACTGACACTCCCCCAGGGCCCCACATCATACACTGAGACTCCCCCAGGGCCCCACATCATACACTGACACTCCCCCAGGGCCCCACATCGTACACTGACACTCCCCCCTCAGGGCCCCACCTCATACACTGCAGTGGAGAGAGGTCCGAGGAGGGGGCTGTGCTGCTGGGAGGTTCGTCCCCTGTTCACCGCGGGTGTTTCCCCCACAGGATTCCGCACCCCTCAGAAGCTGTGAGAAGGTGAGTGCAGGGCGGGTGTGCAGAGATGGGGAAGGCGGTGAGGGCTCTGGAGTCTGTGGCCCCATCTCGCTGCTGGCCCAGCACTGCCCTCAGCCCTCTGTCCACAGTGTCAGGGCTGGGCTGGCACCCGGACCCCAGGAGTCCTGTCCCTTCCTGGCAGGGGCTTGTGGGCCCAGGATCCTGGGAGTCGTCTCTGGGAAGCTGTGTGGCGGCAGCCTTGCGTCTTCCCCAATAGTGAGTGGGGACCAGGTGGTCGCTAGGGAGAATCCGGGCTGTGTGATGGGGTTCATGCAGGTGAGGGGCTGCCGTTGTGGGGTCCTTGGTTCCTCTTTTCTTCCCAGGGTGACCTGACTCCCCAAGTTTCCCGAAGATGTTGGAGCTGGGACTCAGTCCCGGACCTTGGCCTCTCAGCATAGCTCTTTCTGGGGTCTGACCTCACTTTATGTTGCTGACGTAAGTGTCATAGACTAGGGAAAATAAGAACAAAACAAGGTATTTGGCTCAAGGTTTTTGTCAAAGTGTTAGAGGGGCAGGAGGCCACTGTAATTTGGTACTTGGATGTCATCTTAGACCTTACACATTATCTTGACAGGTGATCATCTGTCTTTGAACTCTAAAAATAGAAATTTTAGCTAGTCACATTTATGAGTGCTTTAAAAATTATTTCTGTTCCCTGATAACCTTCCCAATCCCAAAGATACAAGTCTAGATTCCTAAATTATTTATAATTTATAATTTAATATAGGGTACTTTTTCAAGAATATTTGAATATAATTGACATATAAAATTTGTATATACTCAGATTCTGTGACCTGATATTTTGATATGTGAGGGGACTTTTAAAAGATTATGGAAAATTCACGTTCTCTTGTAATCCCATTTTTCACAAACTTCTTTGTGAGGGGACTTCAGGTTTGTGGAAAATTCACATTTTTATCGTATTTTTAACCTTTTTGTGTCTTCTTGTACATATATATTATTTAATGATAGGACAATCAAATTAACAAATCATTCAGATTATATGTTTATAGAAGAATACTTAAGAGCTTAACAAATCATGAGCATCTAATACTGTATTTATATTCAATATACTGCACTGTGTGTTAGGTCTCAAGGAGTCAATTTATCTCCTAACTGCAAATATGTGTCATTAAATTACCATCTTATTTCCTTCATCCTCAGCCCCTGGTAACCACTATTCTGTTCTGTGCTTAAGTTTGATGTTCTTAGATTCCTCATGTTAGTGAGATTGTGTGGTATTTATCTTTCTGTGCCTTACTTCAAGCATTCTGATGTCCACATTCATACATTTGGATCCACGTTGTGACAAAAGCTCATATTTTTTAGTATTGAATGTGATTCATGGTGTGTGTGTATCACGTTTTCTGTATTCATCTGCTGACTGTGTGGCTATTTTCATATCCTGTTCTTGTCTTCTGAATAATGCTCACATGAAGAAATGTATCTCTTGGTTTTTTTTAAGATTTTATTTATTTATTGGAGAGGTAGAGTTACAGTGAGAGGGAGAGAGAGAGAGAGAAAGAGGGGAGAGGGAGAGGGGAGAGGGGAGAGGGAGAGGGAGGAAGCTCTTCCCTTCATTGGTTCACCCCCCCAAATGGCCTCTATGGCCAGAGCTGTGTGGATACAAAGCCAGGAGCCTGGTGCTTCCTCCCAGTCTCCCATGCGGGTGCAGGGGCCCAAGCACTTGGGCCATCCTCCTATGGTTTCCCAGACCATAGTAAAGAGCTGGATTGGAAGAGGAGCAGCCGGGACCAGACCGGGACCTATATGGGATGCCGACACAACAGGATTAACCCACTGCGCCATGGCGCCGACCCCCCGGTTATCTTTTAGATAGTGATTCTAGTTCCTTTGGATGTATTTCCAGTAGTGGGAAAGCTTTGTCTTTTGCTAGTTCCATTTTTAATTTTGTTTGAGACACCACCATAGTGTTTTCCATTTTACATTCCCACAAGCAATTTTATATATTTCCTTTCCTCCACATCTGGTTCAATACTTGTTATCATTTTTACTTTTATATAATAGCCATTTTTACCTCTGTGAGGTCATAACCCTTGTGGTCTTGATTAGCAATGCTGAGCAGCCTCCATGAAATAAAACCGTGGATGGGAGTATTATCTTTCCCTCTCTGTCTGTCTCTCTGTGTGTCTGTTTTTTCAAACTGATTAATTAAGAAATTTGTAGAAACTACTTGGAGTAATTGGTACCAAATCAGAGTTAGATTTTAGGAGTGAGTTCCTAGTGTTACATAGAATGGTGGGGTGACTATAGTCCACAGTAATCTTCTATATTTTACAAGCAAATAGAAGAAAGGTGTTCCAAGGCTCTGATAATGAAGTGTAATGTCAAAGTAGGGAAAATTGTTTACCCTGATTCATCAGTACACATTGTATGTATAAATTAAAATTTCACTCTGT